TGTAACCACAGGATCAACTCTGACATTTACATCCTTAGATATGTCTATGCAATTACAGGTTCAGCTTTGATACTTTTATACTTTGGTGGCCAGAGCCATGATACATTTTCTTGTGCATTGACATAATGTGGATTAAAAATGGATGTAATTTATAAATTGGAGTCTGCGACTTATAGACATTATGGGACAATAGAATAAAATTATTTGTACATAGATATGAATGCTGCACGGATACCATTTGTATTGTTTATACGTTATTGAACCGGGAGATGTGGAGGGAGTTCTTTTTCAATTGGTTTTAGAAATGTTGGCTATTTATTTACTAATACCGTAAATGATTGTATTATTTTGTAATAAGGTTATTATATACTTATTGTAAATTGAAGTATGTAGAAGCGCTAGATACCCAGAGCTTTCTATATAGTTCCATTTGCATGCCTTAAAAACAGACACAACGTAAAAATTTGTTTATTTCTAGCCCTTCTGCCTCGTTTATTTCAACACATAATAAAGTGATCAGTGTTCCTGTCATTGAGCACACACTACGTCAGGTGATATGTCCTAGAGGAGTTGCCGTTGTCACATGACAGCTGCGGGTCACATGACAGCTGCACACACGGAAGTAGCCCTGTGTTCAAGCTGCAGAGAAGGCAGAGGGACTGCATTGAGGGACCTGCTATGAGACAGAGCGTGTGAGTGGAGCTCATAGACTGGTAATAAAACATTTCTCCCTCCATCTCTCATTCTCTGCTGGGTGTTTGGGTGAGGCTCATAGCTGAGCATGCTTCCTGTCCTCTGCTTCAGTCACTTGTGACCCTCCAGTTATTGTGGGACTACAAGTGCAGCAACTTACAGGATCTGCAGTGCTTGTAGTTCCACCAACAGCTTGTAGGTCACAGGTTGCCCAGATCTCTCATGATGCCAACACATATTGCAATCTGATTATAAGACATCTGCTTTCAGTTAGATTAGACTAGTTGTTGTCGCAGCATGTACAGTGATCCTTTTCATCAGATCAGATGTTCTGATGGGTTTGAAGAAAATATCAGCTGAACAGTGATCCAATCAGATTGCAGTGTTTGGGGTTTCCTTGTCATCATTGATTTGAGATCATACTGTGCTTGTGTGTCAAATGCTTTTTTTTTTTTTTTTTTTTTCTTGATAGTGAAGTTAATAGAAGAAGAAAAATATACTATGTAGCAGAATAACCAGAATAACAATAAATGAATGAATAAACTGAACTGAAAATTATGATCCCATATCCCATTATGACCGTAAACTTGGCCAGCATTACATTGAAGTTAGAGGGCTAACTCATGTAGGTGATCTGTTTTAATTTCTCTACATCTCAGTCCAGGTTACAAAAATGATGTTTAAAATGACAGTGTTGGATGCTAGAGCAGCATTGTCACATAGAAGAAAGGACAGCAAGGCACATGCTTCCTTATAGCTGGAGGTACTGGGTATTTTTTTTTTTTTTACCTTGACTATGGTAAAAGACTATGACTAGCAGATCTTATATAATAATAATCAGCAGGGACTGGCTTATATCATAAGCTAAAATATCATTTTTTAATGACTTGTCCTTTGGGAAATTCTTCTATTTAAGTTAGGGGTATTGATTGTAATGGTAAATGAGAACTGCTAAATTGCAGACCGGTAAACATTTTGCAGGATTCAAAGGGGGGCAAGAAAAATACTGATTTGGCTACTATTTGCCTCATGTTGGTAGGGATGCTGTGTTATTGAAACTGCTTTTTAAAATCAGCTTTCATAGTTACATATCATATTCTGTGCCTCTGCCAATCTCTTGTTTTACTTAGTGACATTAAAGGCTATTTTTTTTCCCCCCAACCCAATGTTAGTATCAGGACTTAACTTAAATGATGCCGCTTTATTCGATCATCTTCTTCCTTACCGTCCCTTTCAGATGTCCCTCCAGTGCTGGTGCGGCTCTCCGATCCAGCGCTGACTCCTCTGTCCTCTTTTCTCATGTCTCACAGAGTCTGTGGGGGTGCACGCTGCTCCATAGACTTACCTGGTGTCTCTCCTCATTTCCCGGCCGAACATCTGAACTGCTCATGTGTCTGCCCCAAGATCCTTTACGGCCACCCAAGACTCTTCAGATGTTCGGACGGGAGCGTGAGGCGAAGACGCAGGTAAGTTTAAACCTGTTTCGAAAGGTTTTTTAAAAAGTTTTTGCATATATCTACTGCTTGCTAGTGAGGGTGTGAGGGTTTAATAACACTTTAAGCTGGCCATACACCTATAGAGTATCTGCAGACTTTCTATGGTCAGATGGAAAATGTGCAACAGATTCCTCCATCTATTCTTAACTGTGTGGATGGAGGAATCTCTCGCTGGGCCAAGCTTCAGTATCTTGCTGGTCAGCCCTGCTGGCTCTCAAAATACTGGAACAATGTAATTGGATGCAGGTATTGTTCAGGTATTGTGAGAGCCATCGGGGCTGACTAGCAAGATACTTAAGCTTGGCCCAGTGGGAGATTCCTCCATCTACACAGTTTAGCGTAGATAGAGGAATCTGTTGCACATTTTCCATCTGACCAAAGAAAATATGCAGATAATCTATAGGTGTATGGGCAGCTTTAGTTAATATGTGCTCCCTCTTTCAGAACTCGCAAGTAGAGTCTTGAAGTGTCTAAACTGCTTTACAGAAGGCAGTGATTATCCATTACAAATGTAAATTGCTCCATCTTAAAATCCTCTTTCTGAAAAATGTTCTGTTGCCTGGCCGTTTCTGGTAATGTCTTGTCATTGTTACGCTGGAAATTGCACAATGCTGCTTGTTCTCTGAAGATTTTTCCTTAATCTCACATCCGTTTATGAAATGATTAAACCACTTGAAGTCTATCTATAGTCACAACTTTTGATGTTTTGAATAGAGTAGGGTGGAGAATGTATAAATGTGTGAGCCGCACACCATACGACCCTGTGATCCACTGCGTGCTGGAAGGACCAAAATGAGTGGCATTGTTCCATACCTGCAATATAAGGGCCCACTTATACCAGTATGTTGCCTTGCGACAAGGTCTTGTATATTTCATTAATGTATCGTCAATAGCGTACTAGCCATTTTTAAATGCTCATCTTTAATAGAACCAGGAGCTGAGCCCCTAAGCTGAGTTTACAGATTTTTTTTTTTTTAGGCGTGAATGGCCTCCAACAATACCCACATACATGGGCTGATGATGTAATGATATAAATGGATCAAGGAACATGCTGGAAGTGGGAGGGGGGAGCAATTTAAATCTTGCCAGATACAGGAGCCTGGGATCTAAGGTATCTTGGTTGCAAAGTCAAAAGGTTTTTAAAGCAGCACTCTGGGGAAAATGATTAACTACCCCTGCACAGCAAGCGTTAACTGCTTGTTTTGGTCAATAGAGGAAAATAACAAAGTTATACTCACCCGATCCTCAGAGCTGGCCGGCTGTGACAGCGCTTCCTTCAGCCTGTCTGCCCTCCGCTGCAGTGATGGTATGCCCTTCAGCGGCCTCATGTCCTATACACTGTGTATAGAACATGATAACTCAGGGACCCTAGAACACTGCAGCAGAGGGGGAGAGAGCTCTAGGGACCAGTCTAAGTGCAAGTCGGCTCTGAGGATCAGGTGAGTATAACTTTGTTATTTTCCTCCCTAGACCAAAACAAGCAGTTAACTCTTGCAGTGCAGGGGTAGCCCCACTGCAAGGGTTAATAACATTTTTCACCGGCGTTGTTCTTTAAGCTATTTCAAATGTTAATGGCATCACTTAATGGATTCTGCTGTTTTGATGTTTAAAAAGCTTGTTTCCTGCAGAATTAGCTGGTCCCCTGAACCCTGGCCCTGATATCCTGTTTTAGGGTGACTTCTTTCTCATGCAGGGTCCTTTGGAGCCAGTGGTGTCACAAGGGGGGTCCGGCCACACCAGGTGACACAAAAATGACTGACAGACATTTTGGCGTCACCCCTTCTGAAAAGTTGGGCACTTGGTCATGGACTGAGAGCCCAACAGCTGCGCAAGAGTGTGTAATGATGTGCGTGTGATACCTGGCCTGGTGAGGCCGTTGTATGGAGCCACCCTTGTGTGTGCTAGTAAGCTGTGTGTGTCTCCACAAACACACTGGCACAGCAAGGCAAGACATTCCCCTACTCCGTTCCCCAAGGTAGTAGAAGGATAGCTTCTGTAGACTTTGCTGTCCCTACTGCTCTTGTACTGGATAGGAAGTTCAAGGAAGCAGAGCTTAGGGAGTTGGAGCCAGCTGTTCAGAAACATGATGACTGTATGTGAATGGGCAAAAAAGTAAAGAAATACTTTGCTGGAGAACGTGTATTCTGGATTCATCATTGAAAAACACTTTGATTACTGTGTTTCCCCAAAAATAAGACACTGCCTTATATTTTGTTTGGCTCCAAAAAACACACTAGGTCTTATTTTTGGGGTAGGTCTTATTTTTTTTTATGTACAACAATCCAAAGTTACTGCAAATCCAAATTAAATAATCCAATATGGAAGAGTTAAGAATAGGGTGATCAGGGCAATCAGGGGTGCCTTGCCTTTCCAAGAGCAATTTGCTAACCAGAATGAGCGAATCGCTTTCAGTATAGATTCCTCACAGGCGGAGTGCATTTGGTATCACTCCGCCTGTGACAGGAGCCGGCGCTATAAAGGAAGCATCGGCTTATGCGGCTCTGCTACCTCCACTGCCGCCTCGCTTCCTCTAGCTCTGGCTTCGTTGACACCGCTGATTCTTTCCTGCAGCTCTTCAAGTTCCCCCTTATGCCACCACCGGCCCTGGGCAGTAGGCTGCCCATACCATGCCCTCGGTATGGGCAGCCTAATAGAGACAGGTTCATTTTTATGTTATACACTTGATTGCTTTTCTGCTTCATTTCATTGTAACCACGTGAGGTTTTTATTGTTTTCTGGTGTGATTTCTAAAAGCAAACACCATGGCACCTCTTTATATCACATCATAAATTGGTGGCAAAAAAATATATATTTCGACATTTTAATGTGCGTGGCTCAGTTATGTTCATATAGCTCACAATATGACTTCTATAACCTGTCTTAAAATGGAAATTAGTTTTCTACCCCTGAAAAGAATATAAGGGCACGATAATGGGATTTCCTGTTACAATGACTCATTTACATAGCATGCATTGGCAGCTAGTTGTGAATGTGAAGTGCGGCTCAGGGCAGTAGATGCATCTCTTGGCAAGGACACAGCAAAGTAGAACCGTTCATAAATAAATGATGCTATTCTGTGCTATGACAAAAGATGAAATATGACATTGTTTCCTTCTGCTTTTTTCGCAGTTAATTGTAACCAAGTAATGGCATCTCAAACGCAAAGCAATGGTGACCAGCTGGCGTCTGGCGCCAGCAAGCTTCAGTTTGTCCCTTTCTCTAGCGCTCTTGATGCTGGATTTTGGCATGAGCTCACGCAGAAAAAACTCAATGAATACCGACTCGATGAATCAGCCAAGGTCATCAAAGGTTATTATTATAACGGTAAGAATGTATAGTTATAACTTTTCATAATCAAACAGAAATGTAATATATGATAATGGTGTCATTACAATGTAGGCCTTGGCCTACTGTTATCGCTGGCAGCAAGACTAATTGTTTTCGTATAAAAGTGATTGTCAGTTTTGGCCTTCTAGTGATGCTGTAGGTAAATTGTGAAATGACAGGTATCGGTAAAGCAGGGGACGATTGGAAAAGGGGGCACTTCACTACAAATTGTGGCAGTAGCCACCTAGACTATACCAAAACCAGCATATAAGGGATGTGCGGTCAGGGGAGGCAGAGCCTCACCTAGTATTATGAAGGAAAAAGCTGTCAGCTTCAAGTCTGAAGCTGACAGCTTCTTTTACAGTTCAGATTGGCTTGTAACAGGTTACACAGCAGGGAAAGTCTCACCGCTGTGTAACCTGTAATGGATGGAGCATTGCCTGTTAATTACAGGCAGCGCTGCATCCAGCTTTTGACAGGTAATTAGGTTACACAGCAGCGGGCTTCCCCACTGCTTGTTTAACCTACCTAGTGAGGCAAGAGCTGTCACAGCCTCTACTCTGTGTTAGAGGCGTGAGCTCTGTGGATGGTTTGGACTAATGGCAAAGCGCCATTGGTCCAAGCTGTCCAATCAAAAAAAACAAAACACTGAGGCCATCAATCTCGATGCCTCAGCAGTGATGAGCAAGTGAGGGAAAGGGAGGCTCCTCCCTCCCTCCTTCACTCTAGTTTGGGGACCAGGTTGGGGGCGGGGCAGGAAGTGCTGTTGGCGAGGCTGGGGAATGCCTCACCCGGAACCAAAGGTACCGCACGTCACTGCAGCATACAAGATCCACACCATGGTAGATGGTGCTCAAGAACAGTTAATAATAGGCATATTTTTCTGGTGGACTTTGAATATGCAAGTGAACATGATCAATTTAATTTAGTTATTAGTGTGTATTATTGTTTTAAAAACATATTTCTTTGTATAATCTGTAGATGGATATGGTTATGAGGGAGCCAGATTTGTTCACTGCATATGCAGGGTGGGGGGGGCTTAATAGTGCTACACATTTGTCTTGCATTTCCTTCACCTCCATGCAAGTCTATCAGTAAAAAGCAATGGTTTGACTACGTGCCTAAATGTTATTCAAGAAGCTAGTGATTCGGGAGTCTAAGACATTGCAATCATATGAAGATAACCAGTAGAGGGATAATCGGCAAATTCGTGTATATATATATATGTAATTACACAACAGAAATATGCTACAGCAGGTATGTAAAGTTGCATGAAAATGAACCCATTAGCAAAAATAAATTTAAAAAACCTTAATTCACACCCAAGCCCTAGGCACACTGCTGCTCTTCTTCTTGTCATAGCCCCAAACGTGCCCCCATCAGAAATTGGTGATTATACCTAATATTGTTGACAATTGTCCAGTGGCAAGCCCCCCTGCCCCATGTCATAGTGCTGGGGACTGGCTGTTGATTGCTCAGGCCCTAAGTACTACATGTGTGTGGAGGCAGGTGGTGGTGGAATATTAATAAATGGAATTATACCAGCAGGACTGTGTCTATCACAGGGTAGGGAATCTTCATTCTCAAAAGGTTGATGCAACAGTAGTAATTTAGAATATGTGCTTTATACTGTCATGTTGGTCTTTTCAGGTGATCCTGCAGGTCTTCCAACCCGTCTTACCCTGGAATTCAGTGCCTTTGACGTGTAAGTTATGAATATGTTATGCGCTTCATTTTTCAAATATGTATGAATTTTGAAAACATAAGTCAGCTTAGAATTTATAGTTTTGGGCAGAAGCCACGTTACCAGAACATGCACCTATCTGTGGACTTTGTTTTTATTGAGATCTGACTAGAACAGAAGGTAGCAAGAGCTTATATGAGCTTTACCAGTGTTGGCACAACCTATTCATGTGCCTTCACCACGTGCAATGTATACTACACCACCATCTTCTGCCTGGCATCTTCCAGCTACCAGGTTTTCAGTCATCTAGATTGGTTGGTGGGGGTGGCTTAACTCCCATGCATGGACATGGGAGTTATTCATTCCAGCATCACTGAGGAGCGCCGAGAATGTATGCATTTCTGCGTGTATACATTTTAAAGAGAGTTGAAAACGGGCACATAGCTTTGTTTTGTTGCATAAAATACTTATCTTGTCTCTTCTGAAATAAAGAATCTGTCTGCTTGCAGTTTTTTGTTTTTGCACATTACTTCTGCAACAAATTAAAGCGGAACTACAGCCTCCTATGCCTTACAGCCAAAGAAGTTGCCATTTTAGCCACTATTTGGGTTGCAGTTACCACGGTGCTGCACATGTGATCAGCTATGACACCATGCATTTGAAGGTTTGAAAGTTCAGTGAAGAGCTGAAATAAGCACACTGGCAATCTTAACATTTGGCCTGGTAAACATTTTATTAACCCTTGCAATAGGGCTACCCCGCACTGCAAGGGTTAAGCACTTCTTTTCGTCTAGGGTAAAAAAAAAAAAAAAAAAAAAGTTATACTCACCTGGTCCTTTGAGCTGGCTGCCTGGCTGTGACAGCGCTCCCTCCTGCCTATCTCCTCCTTATTGCAGCTCAAATTCAATATACACTGTATTTAGAATTTGATGACTCAGGGACCTTAGACCGCTGCAGCTGAGGCGGAGAGGCTCCAGGGACCAGTCTAAGAGAAAATGTGCTTGGAGGATCGGGTGAGTATAACTTTTTTTATTTTTGACCCTGGGCAAAAATTAGTACTTACGCAAGGCTGAATATCATTTGTTACCTAGGGTTCTTCTTTTAAAATGACTGATTTTGGAGATATTAAATTGGTAGGTAAAGTTCCTTTTCAAGGATATTAGTTTTCAGCCATTTGACTGTAGTTTTCAAATCTCATGGGATTTAGCTGAAAATAACTATCCTTGCCATGGTGTGTTAGGTTGGTGAATTGAGTTTACTGTCTATCATCTGTGAAATCAAGTCCCAAATGTAATTTCTTCATTTGAAAGATTGCAAATTAAAAGGAAATTCTAATTGGTAGGTAGGGGCAATGTATTTTTCAGACAATTTCCAACATTAGACTGTCTCTTCATAAACTTGTGTTGCAATTCTAGGAATGCACCCACACCAGCACGCTGCTGTCCTGCAATTGGCTGCCTTTACAACACAAATACTCTGGACTCATTCAAGTCACATGATAAGAAGGCTTTGCTGGACCAAGCAGCTAATGAGGTGATCTGCTTCTAACTAGCTATCGATTCCGATTTGACCTGTTTGTTACTTTCAGGACTTGCATTTAAGAGTTGCTGTATAAGAAAAGGCAGCCTGCTATTTTGTATTTGGAGTAAGTTAGATAAGTCATTAGGCAGAATGGAGAGATCTCAGAAGAACGTAACCTATTATTTCTGAGAGTGTCTGATAAGCACAGAGTAGGTTAGGTCATTCTGCCCAAATGTGATGTTTCAGCTGAAGGTGGAATCTTGGGCTTATGTTGCTCAGGGGCTCTGGCGGTGAGATATTTGCTGTCTCACCTTGGAGTTTAATGTGTGTCCTGCCATTTGGATTCTCAGAAAAATAACATAAGGAAACAACAGGAAAGGTGGAACCTAATCCTAATGGTTGTAGAAAACGTGTATGTTTTGGAACTTTAGTACAAAGTTCTTGTTACGAGTACCTGTTAAATAGCATTGTCAACCTGCAGCCTGTAAAATATTGTCCTAACGGAGCCCTGAATAGCAGTAAAAACCTGACAGTGGTTCTAACCCCTTTCCCATAGTAACCAAAACAGTACAAAATGTACCTTTTGTGTATGATTTACAATTAGATGCAGCAGAGCACATATCTGACAGTGCTTAAAAGAGAACTATGGGGTTACTATGTAAGTATTTTTCCCCATAGTTCTCTTAAGGGTCACGGGAGGACATATACTAGCGTCCTCCCGTGACCCAAAGCTCAGTATATCGCAAGCCACAGCTTGCGGTATACTGAGACTGCCGCAGCCGGGACGGATCCCGACATTACTGTCGAGATCCACCCAGCTGTGTGAGTGATAGCCGGATCTGCCTATCTAGAGGCAGAGCCAGCTGTACCCGCCCCCTCTCCCGTCCATTCCAGCCAGCACTGGAGGATCTGAGTGGGGAGGGGGAATCCCTGCAGGGAGCCGACTGACAGTCACAGCTCTCTGCAGTGAGATGATCGAGAAGTGAGCGAGCGACGGTATGTGTTCACTCCCCGATCTATTGAGCCGACGTGTGACAGTTTCATGGCTCAAACTATGTGGATGAGTGATTTTCACTCACCTCGTAGTTCTCCTTTAAGAAATTTATGTTCTTTTAGCATCACAGGAGCCTATCAGGATTGCCTACCCACTCTGGATCTACCAAAAAATATATAGTGCTACGGCTTGTCTTACTGGCTAGAAATTGAATGGTTAGTTTAAGCCGGTCATTCTAGTATATAGAGTACAAGTTCACAAGGGAGAGCAAAGTCTCCAGCAGCTGCCCATCTGCTAGCATAGAGAAGGGGGGAGGGAGCAGGGGGAGAGGAATGGCTTGATTTTCTGTGCTGGCTACAACTCCCTAAGCTCTGCTTCCCTGAGCTTCATGTCCAGTACAAGATCCCAAGGAACAGCACAGTCTACAACAGCCATCCATCTACTAGCCTAGAGAAGGGAGTAGGGGAATGTCTTGCCTTGCTGTATCTGTGTGTTTGTGGAGACACACACAGCTCACTAGCGCAAACAAGGGTGACTGCATAGCACTCTGCAAGGGAAAGGATTCACCCTAAAACAGGATATTAGGACCAGTGCTCAGGAGACCAGCTGATTCTTCAGGAAGCAAATACTTAAGCATCAAAGAGCAGCATCCATTGTAAGGGATATAATCAGCATTTGAAATAACTTACAAAACGTTTGACTTTAATATCACTTGAAGGAGTACCTCAAAAACTAATTTATACATGTGATTTTATCTGAGCTCATTGTCCTTTTTACTTGTAGATTTTATACATTTCTGCTTCAACACAAAAATAATTTATAACTCTGAGCTTTTGCCATTTTGCAGATATGGGATGCAATAAAGTCTGGAGCAGCTCTTGACGATCCAGTGCTCCTTAATAAATTTCTTCTGTTGACGTTTGCAGTAAGTAATTTTATTTTGGGGGTCGTCTTATTTCTGTTCACATGGTTAAAGATGACCTTCACCTAAAACCATTTTATTGTCTGTGGAGGATAGTGCCGGGAGCTTCTGTATGATGCTATACTTTCTTCTCAATATTCAATATTGATATCCAGCATTGTGAAGTTCTTCCAGTGTACTCCAACCCTCCGCTCCTGCTAACTGCTTTGACAGTTTTAATGCATCTTGAAATCAACCTGCCTGAAGTAGGCTATACATGGTGTGAATTTCAGCCGCTTCTTAATGAACCTAAATTTGCAGAGTGTGTTTCCCTGTCAGCACCCTTCCAATTCTTGACTGAATAGAGCTAGCAGCCAGGCTCTGCTCGGTGGCCGCTGTCAAAATATCATAATACAATAGAAACAGCAGGGGATTACAGGTTTTATGAGTGGGTGGAGGAATCTGTTAATTTTTTTTTGTTCAGTCAACAGGTTAAACAAAGAAAATATAACTGTGTATACCAAGCTTTACAGACTAATTTAAAATAGGAGCAGCTGTGTGTATAAGACTAGGATGGGGGCTGAGGGCCGAGGGGTTATTCCGTTAAAGTGCCGCTGCACTTGTACTATCTTGCACCACCTTGTGCAGCTGGTGGAGACATTATTTAAGTTAAGCACCTTGCATTGTCACTTGATTACTGAATGTTGGAAACTCATTATATTGTGGGGTAGAAGGTGAACATGTCCTGCAATTATGGATCCGTCCTATGGTTCTGACTGTTGCTGCTAGTGTTTTAATGGTGTAGGAAGTGTTTTCCTGGCACACCCGAGGACCTCAAAAGTGGACTTTTATGTAAATTGCAAGCATGCATGAATACCTGACATGTCACAGCAACAGTTCAATGTTCCAAATAAGCTCTCACCAGACAAGTGATCCTGCCCAGGCTAAGATGATGTCATCGGTCTCCTGCAGGAAGGATTTGAAATGGCTTAATATCCTTAGACTTTAATATCACTTTAATTTTCTGCTAGTCACCAAGAGCTTTGTCGCCACCATTAATCTATTCCCCATGTTATTTCCTAGATTAAATCGTAAACGTCAGTATCTAGGTTCCCAAGGGCCTGGGCTGTTCTATTTCATTATGGTTATTCCCGACAAGTCACTTCATAACGCCTCTGATATTCATCTTTGAGCATGTTGCTTCACCTTCATCACCTTCTGACAATTCCTGTGAGTTTCCTGCTTCAAAATATCGATTAATGAAAGACTTTAATGAGTTATTCAGAAAGCATTGAGGTAACTAAAGCAATGTGGAGCCAGAGGCTGTGAAACAAAATGATTGTCACTATTTGACCTTGGATATTGAAAACGTTACTGGCTACATTGCGCTGTTCTATCAACTGCACTATGTTATAGAAATTGATTATATAAGAAACGTTTAAAGTACAATTCTAACGTTACTGTAAGTTTGCTGTAAAACAGTGAGGTAGTAGTAGTATTTTTGTCCTTCGTTTATACTTTTACAGTCTCTCTTTTAATCCTATAATGGTTACACAGGACAATGCTGAAAATGTACACCGAGCAGCGCATGTGTTGCTCAGTGTAGGGATACAATGATACCGTGCCATCACTCGTGCTCATGAAAATGCCCCGATACTGATCCACACTGGCTGGGGACCTCAAGGCAGCCTTCTGGGGAACCAAAGCGGTGCCTGTTTACAGTGCCTACCGCACCTCTCCTCCTCTTTCCTGGGGAACTTACCTAGCTTATTGTTAAACCACCCATGCAAATATGAGGAAAAATAATAATAGAGTTTATATATAAAATATATTTTTCCTTTCTTTTCATCATTGAGTGCTTTGAGGGCACCAGTGGGCATTATTGATAATTACTTAATCCTGCCAATCCATAGATGTAGGTCCGTCACACAGTGTATTAAAATGTTAGCGCAACCTACAATTTTATTTAACCCCTTAAGGACAAAGGCCTTTTTTACATTTTTTGCACTTATGTTATAATCCACATTTTAAGCCTGAAAATTACTCACCCAAACATTATATATTTTCTGAAAGCCAAGACCCTATAGAATAAAATAAAATTTTTATGTTGCATGACATTAGCGCAACTTATTATCAAACCCAAAAATGTCGTGAAAAATGCACATAAGTTAAATTTAGTACCCCAAAACACTATATAAAACCATTTCTTTGGTAAAATATAAAAGATGAGGTTACAACGAGTGAATAGATGCCCAACATGCTCAGATTAAAAATTGTGTCTACATGTCATCCGTTTAGAGATGCATGTTAATATTGGCCCTAGAATTATTGCTCTCACTCCGGCGTGTGCGGCGATACCCAACATGTGTAGCGCAATCGTCTGTTTCGTATGTAGGCGCACCCAGTGCATGTTTACAAGACGAAGTGATTGCTCGCGAGGGACTTTAAACCTTTTTTTATTATTATTTTTACATTTAATTTATTTAGTATTATTTTTAAAACTGTTTCTTTTTAAACTTTAATTGATATCACATAGGGGGGCTTATAATCCCCCCATGTGATAACATATTGGCAGTGACAGGCACTCATTAAGGTGATGCTTGGGGTCCAAAAGACCCCTAGTATCACCTTTACACTCTAAATAAGCTATTGAAGTGCAGATCGCACTATTGGACCGGAAGCAATGCAATATGCGTCGCCCCCAGTCTCATAGAAAGGGGAGGAAATCGGTGAACGGACGCTCATCGATCTCATCCCCAGCTTCCCGCCGACACCCGACAAGCCGGTCCTGGGCCCGTAGGAGGGGCAATGGAGCCCAGGAAGCATGGCGCGGGGGTCGGGCGGGGGGGGGACAGTTAGCGGATCGTAGAAGCTGAGCCGCCAGAATCGCTTCTACTGTAATACCGGCCGCCAGCTCTACAAAACTGAACAGACCCCGGGCGGACTCATGACGGGATTATCCCATCATGGGTCGTGAAGGGGTTAAAGGAGTTGTAAAGTTACAACATATACTATAATGTTCATCAGCATTGTAAATGGAATAAATATTATAGTTGGTTTTAATAATGCAATCAAATCTTACTTAAAAAACTATTATTTTTATGTAGTGAGTGCTGCCTTCTGTCTGCCCTTCTCTTTCAATAACTTGAAAGCACCTGGACTCCCGGTGTGCTTTGCCTCTCTTACTCTGCTACTTGATATGAAGCAATCCCGATTTTTCAAGACTACATATCCCATCATGCACTGCTTCCAAGATGCAATAATGATGTCACATTGTGGGAAGTTCAGATGCTGAGTTGTAGTTCAGATGGCAGGCTTAGTTAGTTGTAACACAAAGAGGAATTACATCCCATGGGCATCTTCATTAAGTAAGTTTTCAAACTTTGATCAATATGGTTATTAGGAGTGTGATAGAGCTTATGGAAATTCAATATAGAAATACATATTTATTTTTAGTTTGTGACCATAGATACCTTTTAAGATTTGGGGAAATGTCCAAAGGTTGAGTAGCAAAATAAAAACTAATGGTAGGATGTCAGAATTGTGAGTTTCAATTGGTAATCTTCAAAATATAACAATTTTAGATGAATGGATATTTTAAATGAAATGATACTTGAGGATTTACATGTTCATTTACCTCTTGTCAACTTTTGCTGTAGGACTTAAAGAAGTATCGTTTTTATTACTGGTTTTGCTTCCCTGCATTGTCTCTTCCTGATGGAATAGAATTGGTAAAGAACCCAGTAACATTGGATGAAAGATATTCTAATGAACAGGTACTCTTTATACCTTATGTTTAATATGCTCAGCCAATAGCTTACTTTGGGACCATAAGTACATTTGTATATTTTATCTATTCCAGTTATGTTAATATGCTCTCCAATTTTTTTTTTTTTTTTGGTCTTATTTATTTTGAGGTATTTACATTTTTTAAATAAATACTTTATTTATAAAGAGAGGCCCCAAGGGTGGGTAAAACAGGCAATACAAAAACATTACAAACATAATTTAAAAAAAACATTAATGTAAGAATTAATAAACTTCTAAATACTTCTCAATCGGGAACAAAAAGCCTCCGTCACATACAATGATTATCCTCATCCTTGTCCCACCGAGGACCCTTATTTTCCGTAAAGAGAAGTTAGTTATTACCACCTTGGTTTATAAGATTTATATCTAAGCCTATCAAACCTGAGGTACAATGCTTCATTAAAAGGGGAACAAACCAACACACGAACAGGGACCTTAGTAAAGAAAATAGAGAAAGATGAGGGATTTCCATTTTTGGTCTTTTCTTTCTCAGTAAATGTATTATCCCCAAGTCCCTAATGTGTGGATGGGGAAGGCAGTTCTGCTGGATTGTGATGGTTTAGGAAAGATCGCTTTTAATTTTTTGAGTTTAGAAGAGATGGAGGATTTATGACCTACAGATGTTTATGTAAAAAAAACCAAATCATAATTGATGAGGTCCTCCTAATACATATAAACAAAAACAAAATTGGAGCTGTTTGTGCCCTTCCCCTTTCCTCAGCATTCCATAGCTGGACAAGTCTGAGTCACGAACAAAAACAAATAGGCAATGGTGGAGGTGAGCACTGACGTAGTATGACTATTACTGACTCCCCAGTAATCCTAAAGCAACTTGGACACAGGCAACAACTTTATTCTGGGTGTTTGAGAGATAATCTAATTTGCACATCAGCAGCTCTTCCAATTTCGGAAACTGACATATAAAAATTGGAAAAAAGTTTAGACAGCTTTCCAATTAGAAATAATAAAATTATAGGAAGGTTTATGTCCAAAAGTAATGTATTCGGTGCATATTTACTACATGGATGAAACTTCAATAAAAGTTTAGGTGGTTAAGCTCTAGCTGACCTCCTATTCTGGCCCAGTATTTGCTGTGAGCAACCTCACTGGCCAACATTTAGGCATGGGAGGTGGTGGAGCAAAAACTATAGTCTTTGTTTTGAATGTACTGTATGTCCTATTTCTTTGGCTCAAAGGGAAACTGACATCCCTTCCCTGATTGACTATTTAATGAGGCATATAACATCTGCTGACAAACAATATGCACACTTTTGTTCTAAGTGAATGACTCACCAGCTAATTAAACGAGAAGGGCATAAGAGTCCTGGCCAGTGCACCTGCAAATCAAGTCATTAATAGAAGCGCACATATTTTTATCCTGTTTTGTTTATGTATATATTCTTATTAAACGGCCAATTCATCCAGCAGTGACATTTGGTTATAAGTGGAGCCTAGTGAGTTGAGCCAGCCCTTGGCATTTCATATTAATTTTATATTCCCACAGTAAGATCTCCCTACCATAATTCCCACTTCAGTAACTGTGCTGAGAGTATAGGGTTTTCATGGGTGTAGATAAAAAAATTCAATCCAGTTTTCATTGCATTGAACCTTTAACATCTAATACTTGTTATTAAAAAGACTTCTGTTTTTAGTTTGTATGGGTGACTGTCATTTTAATTTCTGTATTCCCTTCTTAGTAATGCTGCATCGTTTCATTGCTTCTCTCTCTCAATGCAAGCCTCACTCCCCTCACTGAAAATAATGCAGTGGTGTCCTATTGGCGAATCTTGTTTTGTTCATTTCTCAGCAGCCATTCACGAAGGAGAGTGATTGGGCAATTGATTGGCAAAGAAAGCTGCTGAATTTCCAAATCTATATAAATAATACAATACAGAATTATAGCTTGGAAGAAGAACTCACTGAATGTACAATATATTATATCGCAAGTGAGTTGCGCTCGGTCTCGACAAATATAAATAAAATGGAATATGTGTGCTCTATAGGACGTGAAGAAGTTACTAAGTTTAGATTCTACTGTGAAAGAATTGTAAATCTCGGTAGTCACTACCTCGGTAATAATTGTGCAATATAACAATCTGGTGTGGGAAAAGGATTTTCAATCGCCAGCCGGTGTATTGATTAGGTGTTTCTGTGTACTAAGTGTACATGGTTTGTCCAAACAAACCTCTTAGTGATGTGACAATCTATTCAAAGACACCAATCCAAATATAAATGACTCGGTGTCACAGATTGGTCGTGTATAAGAAAAACAAAAACAAATTCTAAAATCCCAATCTCTAAATCGTGACGAATTTTAAATATAGTACGAACACTTAAATAATAAAAATTAAACAGTATCAAAAATGATCACATATACAGTGCTACTCCGTGCACTCTGATTCCTCTCAAAGACAAAGATTAAATGCGGGGTTAATTTAACTAAAATACCGGCATCGATCTTAGTGAGCAGTCAGTTCAGAGTGGTCAGTTCAAAACGTCTCAAACCAGGGTAAATTCATAGAATCCGGAAAGTCCTATGGTTTCTTGTGATCCGTCCTCTTTTCTCAAAAGATCTGGTCTGCTTTTTTCCTCCCTCTGGCAGGCTCCTTCACCTCTCGCTGGGGACGGAAACCTATTAAGATCTCCCAGGGGGAAAAAAGACGAAGAAAAATCGGCGGAATCCTCTAAGTGCAGTAATTCAAAAAAGATTTATTTCTTTAAAATACATAGATGCACTTACAAGACAGACGAGTTGTTCGAGCATAAAATCAGTGGCAGAGTCTTAGCTGTGAGCGGTGAAGACAGATCCTCCTTGACGCGTTTCGTGCTTTCACTTTTTCAAAAGGGGGAATCATGTACAATATAGTTTCTGATATAAAGGGGACAACCTTGACCTGTTTTTCACTTTCAGGTGCTGGATTTTCAGAAAGCCTATGATGACCTGTGTCACCGTGAAGGAGACACTCCGCAGCCTTATTTCCTAATTCGCTACACGGAGAATTCCTTTTCTATGTCTCCACTGCGTCAGTTCAACCAGTTCTGTAAAGAAAAGGAAAAGGTGAATTATGCCGAACTGAGATGCAGCATTGACACATCTGTCTGGAGTCAGCTGGCCTTAAAAGAGTCATGTTGTACTACATTGCTTAGCTGTTTGAACCGTACTCAGAGCTGTTTTCATGTATTTCATGTACAGCAGAATTTGGGAGTGAGAGGAAGAAGCAGCACAAGGAGCCAATCAGTCCATCTGCTGACAAGAAGAACGAAGCGAAAGAGTGATATAGAGATTAGTTGAGTATTGCAGCAAAATCTGCTATTTTATTTTCTCTTTTAAAGGGCTATTTATTTTTGGCTAGGGTCCTGTTTTAGGCCTTCTAGTGTATGTTCTAATTTCAAACAGTATTTATTTTGTGTGTGTCATCATTTGATATCAAGATTTGACTAACACTATTTGCTGTTCCATAAACATCTCATTCATCTCTCACATCATTTGAGGATGTTTATGTACAATCATGGTATATTTAACAGACCAAAAGTGACCAAATAAGAGAGGTTCATTGTTTGAGTTTTTACGCTTTAACTGAGAAAATCCATTCCTTGGATCTTGATATCATTACCAAGATGATAGGTCTACATTATTGGAATTTTCCACAATTTTAAACTGAGTCATATTCAAAAAAATGTGAAGATCTAGCAACATTTATCATTGTACAGTAAACTCCCAGTTATTTGGCACCCATGGGGATTGCTAGATGCCGAATAACTGTACTTTCTAGTTGTTGGTTGAGAGATACTAATAACTCTGCTGGCTATGTTCTGCTACTGCCCATTTCAAATTGCCATAGCCAATAGCAGGCTGGCTGTTGCACATGTCCACTGCCTATTGTTTACATTCGCCTGCCAGCTGCAGAATCTGTCGGCCGCAGCAAGATATAAACAAGAGAATTTCATTAGCAGCTAAATAAATTTAGTGTGCACATGTCTATCAAGCGACTGGCAAAAAAATGAGGACATATTATGAGAGTTCTGGATGCTTGAATGCAGAATAATGGGGAGTTTACTGTGTTATGAATACTAATGTTGTTGCCAATGCCTGCGAAGTGGGACACGTTGAAACTGTTTGATAAAGCTTAGCCATTTTACATTATACTATTGCCTACAACATTATTATATATGACTACACCTATATGTGGCACCCTAAAGGCCTGGAAAAGGCTAATATCAACCAGGGGCGTCCCGAGGCTTGGTGATACCCGGAGCGGTAACCGAGTGTCATCCCGCCGAGACGTCACTGCGCGTGACGTCACCACGCGCATGCGCGATGACGTCATCGTGCAGGCGCGGCAGTATTCTGATACCTGCAGAGAGAGGAGGGGACAGTCACCCGGCGGGATAAGGTATGCCGCCGGGTCCCCTCCTCTCCTGATACTGTCAGGCGTACGGTCCATGACGGAGCGCCCGACTTTTCAGAGGGGGGTGACACCAAAATGACTCTCAGTAATTTTTGTGCCACCCCTCCAATGGTGTCACCCGGGTGCGGGCCGCACCCCTTTTGTGACGCCACTGATATCAACTAATAGTGGATGTAGCTTCACATGAGAGATATGCATAAAAATTGACAAATGAAAGTTCACTGAATTCTGTCCATCAGTCTGTGATTACTATTATTAATTATTTTGCTTTCCTAGGTCATCCTTGGAGTTTGCGATCCGTGCACCTTAACACAGTATCCTGGATGGCCATTGAGGAATATTTTAGCACTGGTTGCTTATCACTGGTATTGTATCTCAGTATTCAGTATATCACTTGTTACAGCTGTACTCAAATTGTGATAGAGTGTTGTATACGCACTTTGTAACAGGAAAGGAAGGGGGAAATTACCAATGCAAAATTCTTCTTCCTACACGAATGGAGGAAGACATAGAAACCAAATGTGATATAATGATAAAATTAAAAAAAATTGTGAAATCATATAACTCGTATAACAAACAAGGTCAATGTATTTACAAAATCATAGAAGGTAATATAGAATTAACCCCTTAAGGACAAAGGCCTTTTTTTCATTTTATGCACCCATGTTATAATCCCCATTTTAGGCCTGAAAATTACTTAAAACCCCTAAATGGTATATATTTTCTGAAAGCCAAGACCCCTGAAGAATAAAATGGTGGCAGTTGCAAATTTTTATGTTGCACGACTTTGGCGCAACTTATTATCAAACCCGGAAATTAAGTGAAAAATGCACTTGGGGTAAATTTAGTGCCCCAAAACACTATATAAAACCATGATGCCTACTCTCAGACGTGAAGCCCAGTAGTGATAGATCTGCTGGTTCTTCCTGTGTTCCCTCTTCTCAAGTTGAGCATGCTAATGGGAGTCACTATCGGTTAAATTGTGTGTTATGGGTGCATGAGTGACGCATCAAATAGAAGGCTGCCTAATATGTGTTGGTGCATAACCTTGTAGTACAACAGGGGAGTGCGCTCCCTCTAGGGACAATGCTACTCCTTCAGCTAATGAAATGTTTTCACCTTGGGACAACAAGGAGAAAAAAAATCAGAAGACAGGCAGGGTCTGCAGGTACATTTCATAAAAAAAGAATGCAAAATAGGGTTTGCAAGGGACATATGTTAACTGGAAATCATGAGGTACTATATTTAAAAAATAATAATATGGTATACATACACTTTAATTAATTGTTAGGGGATCCCCTCATATTAACAGTAGTATTGAAAGTACCAGCATATGTAAAGGATACTATTTGTAATATGAGTGAACCCTTAACAATGAATTAACCTTTAAGATTTTTATTTGATCTTTGCGGCATTGTTATAAGAGTTACATTATTTTACTAGAGGAGCACTATTTGTATTTTATTCCATTGTATTGAAATTGTGTCCACTCTGCAGGAAAAAGGTCAAGTACTTTATTTGCCAAAAATGTCAAGGCCACTGTAAATAATAAAATCAACCTAGTCAGTTTATGAGCTGCTCTTGAGGATAACTATGGTGATCTGCTGCATCCCCTACTCACTAATACATTTTGATCTAGGAAAAGTGGTGTCTAAAAACAATTAAAACCTGTTATTAGATCCATACTAGGTTTACACTAATTATTTTAGTGTTAGTGATGAACCAATCATGAGTATCAAAAGGAATGTGTTTGACATAATTATAATAAACTACAAGCACTGATTTTTGAAGAAAGTACAAGTTCAAATGTTGCATTCTACAAAGCATGTAATGCACATGTTAAGCCTTGAACACAAGGGTCAACATGAGACACCAGGCATTGTTCCTAATGTCTCATGTCATTGCCAGATGTACAGGTCTGAATGGTTCATTACAGACAATATTGTTCAGTTAATTAGCCAATCAGGACATTCTCAACAGTGTGTGTGTGTGTGTGTGTGTGTATGAACACAAGCATCAATATGAGGCACTGGAAACCATTCCTAATACTCAAAGGCATTTCCTGATGCACAGTACTGAATGGCTCAGTGCACTCAAGACTGCTCCATGAAACAATCTTTATTATGTGGTGCCCAACAGTGAAATTGACATCCTTCCTCTAAGTTCTCTGCTGATTGCCCCACCATCTATCGCAAGAGGCACTGAAGGCTGAAATGGAAAATTAATACGCACAAGCACAAGGCTAGAACCTATCGTTCAATGCTGTATATTGCTGTTTTAACATCTATATCCCAACAAACTGACAACAGTGCACACCTTCAGCCATTTAATCTGAGTGATTAATATCTGTCTCAGACTTCATGGCACCATGGATTGGATTCTGAAATTAAAACAGGGTGGTTTCACTAACTTTCATGTTTCCAATTATGTTCTTGAACAATCAACATCTGCCTTGGTGCATTCTATAGTGACTGAATTACGGTAACAGATTTACCTGTGCATGTTACCCATGTATGTATGTATCTGACACTTGTTTGAACTAAAGAAGCTTGGATAAGCAACAAAATGTCTTTAACATTGCAGAAAAAGTCCAGTGGAATGTGACTAACTCCTACTAGCTATAACATAACCTGAATAAATGAGAACTTCACAAACACTAGCACCTAGCACTTGTGCATGCTAATGAGTAACTCCTATAATATTTCAGATAACTTCTTATTTGACTTTGGCAAAATAAGATACAACCTTTCGTTTTACTTTATTAGTTGCAATGTTTATCCTATCAGATGCAAATATTTCCTAGTATAATTCAATGCTCATGCATTGTTCAATAAAGAGAGAACGTTTCAGGAGGCCGATTGGGGAGGAGACGGGTTAGAATGCCGTGTGGGGTGGTGCGGTGCAGAGACAGCTGTCATAGGAGCCAAGCTCTCCTCCTGCACCACCCCGCTCCACTCCTTTGACAGGTGGAGACTCAGAATGGAGAGCAGGTGGGAGTGAGCTGTCAGGAGGCCGAGCTCTCCTCCATCACTGCTGCACTCAGCCTCCAGTGCCAGCGAGTGAGGATTGAGAGCGGCTTAGAAGCACTCAGCGATCAGCATTTAGCATGAAGGTGCACCCCCACTTTCCAAAGTGGGGAATGTCCGTTAGCCTTTGCAGACATTTGGACAACTTGCATCTCAGATGCTTTGGGTGCAAGAGGTGGTTTCCAGAGGCTACAAAGTAGAGTTTAACTCCCAGTCCCCTCATTGGTTTCTCACCTCCAGCCTTGCTGCTTCACCGCACAGATTAGCAGATCTTAATGTAGCCCTCTTGGGCTTCTGCGACAAGGTGTCAGTTCCCCAGTTCATGTTGCAGAACAGTTTCAGGGGTTTTACTCCAACCTGTTAACATTTTCCACACCCAAAGGCGGCATCCTCACCATCTTAGATCTCAAAGCACTGAATGTTTTCATTTAGGTTTAGAAATTCCTTTTGGAACCCACCAAGAGTGTCATAGCCCCTCTTCCCCAGGGGGACTTCCTGGCTTCTGTGAAAATCATGAAGTATACTTAGATGTTCCATCTATCCAGCACACTAGTGTTCACCAAGGTGCTGGCCCCACCACCTGCCTTGCTGTGTACTCTTGGCATCCGTATAGTGGGGTACTTGGATGACAGTCGGCTCTGTTGGACAAAGTAGCCTTGACTGTCCAGAAATTATAACGATTGGATTGATCATGAACCTTCAGAAACTGGTACTGGAATAGACTCATCTGTTGGAGTCTCTGGGTCTAGTACTAGACAAGGCTGAAGCCAGAGTATTTCTCTCTCTGGATAAACTTCAAGCTCTTTGATGGCAGACTCACACTCTCCAATCCTGAGTTGCCCTACTCTCACTTTTGCATTAGAGTCCTGGATTTTATGGTTGCTTCCTTCAAGGCAGAACCCCTGTCAGTTTTTTTTTTATTGCTGTCTTTCTCCTCGTTAGGGAGATTTGCTCTATCTAATTGTTCTGAGCACCAGGAATGAAAGTGAGAGACAATCCAAAAATTTGCCACCAGAACAGAAATAGAAGGGAAATCTTCCAATGGGGACACTTAATTCTGTTACAACTGTCTATGAGGGTATTTAACTCACAATGGAAAGATATCCTCTCAATTCCTGTTGAGTCTACAGGAGAGGAAGTAAAGGGAAATCTCCCTAATGAGACACAGATAGAAAAACCAACGACAGGGATTTTTTTTTAGCCTCCCTTACACTATTCACAGTGGAAAAACGTTTTATATACTTAAACATCATTTAAATCTTTATTGATTTCACAAGACAAAAGAGTTGATTTTTGCTGTTTACACTTTATTAAATATTTTAACATCGTGTATGGAAATGTTATTTTACTTCTAAAATAGAGCTTTCTCTCTTTAATTCTTGTCGTTATCAATAAACCATTTAAACAGCACAGTGCTAAGTGCAGAAATGCGTATTAACCAGAATTCACTTTCGGGAAGCAATATTAGTACAAAAATAGATTCAAAATAGATTCTGTGAGTGATGAAAGCTCTACTTAGCACTTTGCAGTGTTGAATAAGTCCTCTGGTTATGACTTTTGTTTGTTTAATGGTGCCATTCTTATTATACATTGTTTTACCCTGTCCAGGAAAATAACTAATTTAAGGTGATTATTTTCTTTGAACACCAGTGTGTAATTAATCTAATCAATTATTTAGTTATAATTATTGTACTATTTTAGATGTATTTATCCTTTAGTATATTAGATACCTTGGTATCCTTTTTGAAGTACAGTACAGCATTGTTTTATCTCGTAACAGAAGTTTTGTCTATTTTTAATGTTTAATGGGTCAATGTCATTTGGAATACAAATTTTTCTAACATTTATGTTTCATTCAGGTTTTACCACTTTGCAATACAACACTCTCTAGCATGTGGTAAAAAAAGAAATAACACCTTTTTAATCATCTCAGAGTTTCAATCATGTCTTTGGAATCATCAGATTAATAGAGGCGATTAAGCACCTGTCTCAGTGCCATAACATTTTCCTCAAACTGATTAAACTAAAAAAATTATCAATTAGTTTTTGCAAAAAAATCTCACGGTATATAAGAATGTAATGATATAAAGTTGCAAGATCATTTAATATCCATCCCACTGTTTTTATTCTGTCCTCTAATGTTCAGTTTCTTTTTAATTTCCAGGGGCAGCCACCTACAGTCCATTGAAGTCATCTGTCTTCGAGACCGAACTCTGCAAGGGGAAAGGGACATAAAGCACAGTATTAGCTTTGAAATTAAAGTGCCCAAAGTGACACAAAATGAAGGTAGCCTTCTTTCATCCAAGACCTCATTTCAATAAAAATTTTTATCATCCTGCTAGAGGAGTAGATAAAAGCATCTTGTGAATATAGATCACTTAAATGATGCCTTTAATCAAAATTACAAGCTGGTATTTTTGGTCTTCATGCACCGAGAGCAACTAAAATTATAAAAGGTGTAGAGGATCTCGGTTATGTGAAGAAACTGATTGAGGTATCTTTGTTCTCTGTTAAAAAGAGACATTTTTAGTAAACCTTTGACAAACCTGGAACTTTTAAATTAAATTTGTGAGGAAAAATTGCTGAATTAGAGGTTGCCTTCAGTGAAAACCACATGTCAAAGTTTTCAGTAGATCAGATAAGCTACTGAGGTTATGTGCAAGTTATGCTGCTGCATTCAGGAGATTGGACACTGGGAAAACAAAACTGAAAGGACAGCCTAGTATAACCCACAGTATGTCTTCTAGAGAGGCAAACTACTTCTTACTTTTTCTGCTTTTTATCAACATCAATTTTCTGCTAGCAAGATTCTTCAGTTGCTGTTGAGGCGCCGGAGCTCATATTGCATATTTAGCATAGCCTTGGAGGCTGTACTCAGACCCTGCTGTGAGGAAGACGTGGGCCAGCTGCCTGTATTGTGTCCTACGAGTACCAGACTCTGAAGGTGCTTCCCTAGACACCCTTGGTGTAACATATGAGTTAGCCACAGAATGCTTTACTGGTCCGGGGTCGTGCTGAACATGGCTGGTGGAACCCTGTGCCTGAAGACTCCTTAGGGAGTATGCCCATGGAGAGGCTAAAGGTTGTTTACATGGGGCATGTCTCCTGCCAAATATCTCCAAATTACTCAGTGCCAAATTACCAGCGCTGCTGCAAGTCAGGGCTTTAGTCTTATGGAAGCCTGGGTGTGCTAACACTGCTTCTTGAGTCTTCTAACGGGTTAACTCAGGAGCACCATGTGTGACATTTTCAGTCGCAGTCCAGCAGGAAAGGTGGCACAGCACCATTTTTAAAATTGGACCATCGTACTGGACCTGTTGCCGTGAACCCCTGCTGAGTCTGCACAGCCTCATTCTCTGTGGTCATACTGCACATGTGTGTGCCACTTTCTGGAGTAGGCGTGGACATGTCTGGGGATGCCAGACATGAATCTCCTGGTATCCTGGCTCAACAACAAACTAACCAAGTTTCACTCCAGGACCAGGCATACTCTAGCCTTTGCAGTGGATGCTCTGGTGACTCCATGGAATCAGTTCAACCTCTTCTATGCCTTTCCTCTTCTAAAACTCATTTCTCACCTGCTCTGGTGAGCGATGGAAGGCATTCCATTGCTCAGGTTAGAGATGGAAAGCATTTTATTGATTCTTATTGCACTGAACTGGCCCAGGCTGATGCGCCTCTTAGATCTCATCAGACTCCTGGCAGATGCTCTGTGGCCACTCCCAGATTGTCTAGATCTTCTATACTAAGGACCAGTTTACCCTCCTGCTTTTCATTGGCTGGTTTTAATGAACTGACTGGTAAAGCCCATGCCCTGATGGATAGGGGGATATCTGATACATTTATTTCTACACTCCTGAAAGCTTGGAAGTACTCAGTGGGACTACTCTCCATCTTTTCTCCAGTCTGGCCTGGATCAACATCTGGCCTTAAGTACCATCAAGGGTCAAATCTCTGCCCTAGCGGTTCTCTTTCAAAGACCACTTGCCTTGACTCGTTAGTGAAAGCCTTTGTATAGGGGGTCAGCACACTACATTCCCCAGTGACTTCATGGACTCTGAACCAAGTTCTGTTGGTTCTCCAGAAACCGCCCTTTGAACCTTTAAGGGACATTCCCCTGTCTACTCTCATTCACAAGGTTGCCTTCCTCGTTGCCATCGCTCCGGTGAGGCAATATTGTTGAAATCTTTCTTGGCCACAGAGTGGCTGTGCACCGTCAGCTAATTTTCAGGCATTTCTGTTCTAAAGTCAGAAATTTATCTGAGTTTTATCTAAGGTGCTGCAGCAAGATTTCACAAAGCTTCTTACATATGCATTAGTGGGTATTACTTTCTAAAGCATTTCCTTTGTAACTTACTTGCTGCTTTCTTAATTTGTTGCCTGTGAGATTCAAACGTTAAGATAAGATTGTGTCTTATCATGGCCTGTGAGTAACGTCTTAGTATGGACACTCTGGTACATCATGCTGTGCTGGGTGTGTTTGGGAGTACAGCTTATGCGATACAAACAGGGAAGCAAAAAGAGGTACCAAGATTACCAAAACATAGAGTGGAATGGATTCTAATTTAACAGCCTGTATAAAAACTGAAGCCCTGAGTTGGTAGGCTGTGTAATCATTTCAAGGTTTTGTTTTTCATTTTGACTTCAAGCCTGAATGCTAGCTCTGCAAAACATATTGATTAGGTTTAATTTTAATGGCAGCAGCAGGTGACTGCAGCTGGAAAGTTGCAGCAATCTTGCTGCTAAGTTCTTCTAGACATGCGAAATGTTAGGGCATTTTTTATTTAAATGCCTGAAAAATGCTATAGGATCATGGACTGAGAGTTTAAGGCGCGTTTAAGTATGCTTCAATGGGGACATTTGTCCAGCAGCAATGCCTCAAGAACGCGACATGCACTCTATTTTTTAACACACAGCAACATAACGCTGATACCAATGTGTGAACTCCACTGGGCGGTTGCTATTGCATTATCCCACATGAACGTTAATAGGCGGCAGAGAGGCTTTAAAAATGCTTCTCTAATGCCGATTTTAACACGTGTGAAAGAGGCCTTAAAGGAGGACTACGAGGTGAGTGATTTACACTCACCCTCATAGAGCCGACGTATGACATTGAAACTGTCACACGTTGGCTCTATTGATCGGGAAGTGAGCAAACATACCATCCCTTGCTCACTTCCCGATCATCTCCCTGCAGAGAGCGGAGACTGTCAGTCACTGGTCCCCACAGGGTTTCCCCCCTTCCCCTCTCCGATCCTCCAGTGCGGACGGGCACAGTTAGCTCTGCCTCTAGATAGGCCAAGCCCGCTGTCAATCAGCCAGCTGGGTGGATCCAGACAGTATTGTCGGGATCTGTCCTGGCTGCGGCGCTCTCAGTATATAGCGAGCTATAGCTTGCTATATACTGAGCTTTGGGTAACGGGAGGACATAAGTATATGTCCTCCTGTGACCCTAGTGAGAACTATGGGATAAAAAGGTTACCCCATAGTTCTCTTTTAACGCTTCACAGAAAACACAGTTGTACCTTGATGCTGGATGAAAAGATAATTTAACAACAATTTAATGTTTGGTTTAAGGGCAGTGACAGTGTGATGGTGGAAAATGCCTGTCCAAAAAAACTGTTATAGTTGACCATAAGGGCCTGAAAGCCCAATTGAAGTCTCTAAACTTTTTTTTTTATAGTCCCATGCTGTATGTTATGATTTTTAATTCAGTTTTGCTTGAAAATGCCTTGAAATAACTTTTTAGTTGAAATGCAATTGCTTCTCTCCATCTCCAGTGCTCTATGTTGGCAGAAATAAGTCAAGGCCATGTCTCTGATTACAAGCTTCCTCACACAGAATTGTAGTGCCCAGTAGAGAGGTTGAAGTGAGACTATAAAAATGGAGGCTGATCATTCAGTGACTTTCTTACTAAGAATCAATTTCTGTGACTGTTGTTGGGCTTAACTTCCACTTATTTTACACTTTATTTTGTCATTTTAGTTTGCCCGAAAGCGGTTGGTTGGGAGAAAAATCAGAAAGGTGGCATGGGCCCCAGAATGGTGGATCTTAGTGAATGCATGGATCCCAGGAGGTAAATCCAAGAAAGCAGTATTGAAAAAATAGAATAAGCATTACACATTGCTTTATGTCTGCTACAGTACATTTGTAAATGTTAAAGGAGAACTATGGGGATAGTGAAATACACTCACCCCCATAGTTAGAGCTGACGTGTGACGCTGCAGCTGTCACACATCGGCTTTATTGATCGAGAACTGAGCGATCACAAACCGCTGATCGCTCAGTTCACAATCTTCTCCCTGTCAGTCACCGCACTGGAGGGATGGGGTAGGCAGGGAGGTGGAGCCAGCTGTCAATCAGGCAGCAGGGTGGATCCGAACAATGTCGGGGTCTTTCTCGGCTGCAGCGTGGCTCTGTGCTGTCAGCATATAGTGGAAAATAGCCCGCTATATACTTAGTTTTAGGTCACAGGAGTAAATGTCCTCCTGTGACCCAAAAGAACTATCTTCAGCGTAAAGAAGTACCAGTCCTGCAAGTCCTGGAAGTGACGCCACAGAGCCCTAATCTCAACATCATCGAGTCTGTCTGGAATAACAAGAGACAGAAGGATTTAAGGCAGCCTACATCCATAGAAGATCTGTGGTTAGTTCTCCAAGATGTTTGGAACAAACTACCTGCTGAGTTCCTTCAAACACTCTGTGTAAGTGTATCTAGAAGTATCTGTTGACAGAAGCTGTTTTAAAGGCAAAGTGTGGTCACGCCAAATATTGATTTTGATTGTGATTTCTCTTCTGTTCATTTATTTTCCATTTTGTTAATTGATAAAAATAAACTATTAACACTTTTATTTCTAAAAGCATTCTTACTATACAGCATTTTTTCACACTTGCCTAAAATGTTTGCACAGTACAGTATATGCAACAACATCAAGTGAAAATAAAAATATGGAAGTCCAGAGGTCATCTAAGGGCCCTTTCACAACAGCCCGGTTCCCTGGTGTGCATTGAACTCACTCACCTTGGTTATTTTGTTAACCTGCATTGTGTTAGGCTGGCCCATTAATTTGAATGGGCTACTTAACTGCATCACAACAGACCAAATTCCACTAATGCATGTTACTGTGCATTACTGTAAGTTACTTTGAACAGGCCTAAATGTGGGATCTACATTAAATGCATTTAGGCTCTATATGGGAGGCTATACACATTAGTTTACATCTATCAACATGATGAAGGGGAACTTAAACCAAAACTGCTTTTTCCAGGAAGTGTCCACATTGTGAGAGTTTCTTGGCACCAGTTAATCAGTATATTTAAGCATCAGCCATTGACTGGCTTTCAGAAAAACTAATTTTACGTCTGCTATACATTCTTTGGATAGGTGTGGAAGAGTGCTGTAAAAGTAAGCAATTCTTATATTCCACTAATATACCGTAATCTTCCTTTCAGGTTAGCAGAATCGTCTGTGGATCTAAATCTAAAGTTGATGCGTTGGCGACTAGTGCCTACTTTGGACCTGGAGAAGGTCATTTCCTCCAAGTGCTTGTTACTGGGAGCAGGCACATTGGGGTGTAATGTGGCCCGGACGTTAATGGTGAGTGGATAGCAATAAACTATTTAAAGTAGGATTAGACGATGCTTTAGGGTCTTGGTTCTCAACTGGTGGGTCGTGACCCAAAAGTGGGTTGTGTTCTGTGGGTCACCACATGCCTTCCACTTTTCAAGGTGAGAGGCTCCTCTGCCTCCCCCTAGCGCAGCACTGTCAGTTCCTGCGCCAAGCAGTCATTCAAAATATGCTGCCCGGCGGCAAGTGCCAGCTTTAGATGGGATGGGGGCTATGGCCATGAGAAAGCTCCATCCATATGTGCATTGCTTACAGCTCCCTCACGTGTCCTATAGAGGTGCCATGGTGACATCACATTCTGGATCCCGGCGCCTCTACTGGGTGCGCAAGGGAGTTGTACAAGCAATGCACATATGGATGGAGCTCTGTCACAGCAGAACAGCCCAGCACTGGACCCCAGGCTGAGGATCCACTCCAGTTCTCGTAAGGTAGGGAGACTGTGTGGACCTTAAAAAAAATACATTTTTTGGGGTGTGTGAGAATATCTGTGAGTGTGTGGGATTGTGGTTGTGTGTGTCTGTCAGTCAGTGTTTTTGAGGGCCCATTCACAGTAGTGTAGTGCGTTAATCTCATAGTACCGTGCGATTTAACGCCCTGTTCCACACAATCACGCTTACCATGCATGCTTTTGTGGGAGGTGTGTTGCATTGCCATTCAATTGACTGGTTCCCCAAATGCACCTCCCACCCACAGTTCGTACGCCCGCGTTGGAACGCGTGGTACCCTAATGCTGTGCATTCCATTGCAGTGCGACTTGGGTCGTGACTTAATGACCAAGGACAAATGTGGGTCCTGAGGTTACACAGGTTGAGAACCACTGCTTTAGGGTATAGTATTTAAGAATCGTATTGGTTCTGGGTTTCCCAAACTTGGATCAGTTATGGACCTCTCATGTCCTCTGCCGTGTTCAAATATGCTTGTGGTTTTAAAGGTTGATAATATTTACCCACCTTCTGGAAATCTATTCTACACTGATGACAGGAAATTCTTTTTAGCAATCCAGTTTCATAGAACTGTGTTTGTTATACCTTGAATTGACTATGGCCTAAGGCCTGAAACTGTTGTGTGCAATGGCTGTAATTTTAAGTTTCATCTGTCCTCTAATCAAGCAGTTGTGGATGTATAAATAGTGCATGGCTCCACCCTCTGCATGACATAAGCACATTATAATTTTAAAAAACTGTCACTCTTCTTTGTGGTAAAAAAACATTTATGTTATATTCAAGGCTCTGACTGACAAGCAAGTCTGCAAATTTTATTTGAGTTTTACCTTCTGTTTGACAACTACTACTCAATATCAGTGTATCATAACTAAATACATCTGAGACATACAAATTAAAAGCTCCATGGTGCAATTGCAGTGATTTGACGGAGGGGGTGGTCACAAACACGTATTATGCTAAGGTGTCACAATCTAGACTAATTTATATGCTATCTTGTCTCTTATAACTACAGTAGGTAAGTGGGTAAAGGAGATTACTGTGATTACATGTACCGATTTCACTCATTCCTTGTTTTTAAAACAATGTCCTACTTTTGTCCTATGAATGAAAGCAATGATGATTTCTGCTTTTTTTAAGGGATGGGGTGTTAGACACATAACATTTGTGGATAATGCCAAAATCTCCTACTCAAACCCTGTACGGCAGCCACTCTATGAGTTTGAAGACTGTCTTGGAGGTGGAAAATCAAAGGCTTTGGCAGCAGCGGAGAAACTTCAGAAGATTTTCCCTGGTGTGGTAAGGAGAAGTTGGCGAGACGTTCTGTTCCATTTGTATAACAAAAAGCTCTATTTATTGTCACACTCTGTACACGATGCCCAGAGCTTGTAATAAACTCTGCAATCTGCTATCCCAATACAGCTCAGCTTATAGTGCCACGTATCACAAGTGTAACTTGACCCAGGAGCAGGTCAACCTGCATTGGTTTTTATCATACAGCAAAGCCCTGAGTACTAAAGAGACTAATCTATGAAGAAATTCTTTGAAAAGGCTTCGGCAGCGTAGCTGATCATTATGTAATATGTTTACTTTTATCCTTATTGTAAAGGCACAAGCTATATTCCAGGCAAGCAGATCAATACATGGTTTATATACATATATGGGATCTGTTCTAACTTCCAAGTGGTTTGTATTTCTGTCCAACCAGACCTAAGATTTGGGCAGCCCTGCCAGACAGCCCAGCCTGTCCTGACGTTTCTGTACTGCAGTTAGACAATACAGTCTGGTCTCCTATCTGTCCCCAGACTATTGACAATAAAGGAAAAACTGCAGACTTATGAAGTCATTCATCTGCTCCCTCTGTTTTCTCCTTCTGTCAATATGTTTCCTGTTAACACATGTACATGGTGCACACTTGATTGGCTCATCGTGTTCTCCCTTAGTTTCCCCAGTGTGTGCAGCTGTAATATAGGGTATTACAACAGGGCGATACCAAATCATATGCTGATCCTTATAGTATCTGTATTTAAATATATATTTAATGATTGTTTTCAGTTAACACATAACTTCTTTTTTCCCAATCACCTTCCAGGACAGCATGTGAGAAAGTGTGGCTCCATCACCTAAAATAGAAATTACAAGGCTCACGGACAATAATAAGCAAGCTTAAACTCACCGTCTCAGTTCTGTGTGTTTGCTGTCTATTTGTTTGCTAAGGCCAAGCTGGAACAACTATGGAACTCCGATATTGCAAGGCCTTTGTGCTGGTTGCTGGGGCCTTTCAAACTAACCAGCTCAGATTGCACCCCAGTGATCGTGAACTAGGCTGGCCAGGATAGGTGAGATTGAGGGTAGGAGACCTCTTTTGGATGTGGTGGATGATTTATGGTCCTAACATTCACTCTTCCTCCCTCTGAAGCATGCCTTTACTGCCTTAAGTTTTCACTTCACTGGCACCTTAATAGGGGCAACCATCCCCAGAGTCTTTGTGGTACTTGTTGTACCCCCTTTGAAAAAGTGACCTACCTGCTCTTTCTTGTGCTTAAGACAAGCAGAAGCATTGACATCTCACCAAGCTGCTATGCTGGAATTAAGCAGAAGCTCTATGGTGCATCCAGTTGGCCCACGTAGGCATCTGGTTATGGCTTAGTTTGTGTTCGATGATGATTACTAATCTACAGTATTTCCAGTAGTTCCAGGTTACAAGTGAATGTTCTGCCAGTCTGCGCATGCACTGTGTATCAAACATGTCCCTTGTGCCCTTTTTCCAGCATCACTGGGGTCACAGATGCAGAAGGAGAGCTGGTAGGTGAGGGCTGGAGCAGAAAATGAGTGCGTCTCTTACAAGCACAGGAATTGTGTTGCGTTTTCATGTTCACCACTGGTGTGGCAGAGGCAGCACCTCTCAATTTGCAGATCCCAGTGCCAGTGGCTCTGAGGTAAGGAGGAGTTGCAACCTATTCCTTCCTTCACTTAATGTATGTCACACTTGTAGGCGTGCAGGGATATTAGGGCTTATTTACTCTATTTTATCCCAACTTATACTCTCCTTGTGTTGCAACAAAAAAAGATGATGATTTAAGGTGGCCATACATTGTACGATTTTTTTTCGAAATCTTTTTGTTTCTGGCCTGAACCCTCAATCGGTTATACCTAGACTTCCCCTGCAAGCATAGTCAAATCGCAAATCGTTAGTTGAAAACCCCACTGATTCATTGATTTTCGTTCGGTCAGAGAAAAATTTTCCAACCTGACCGAGCAAAAAATTTTGATCACAATATCAAAAATTGTTTACATTTGTCCACCACCTGAGAGTCTGTCTGCAGGTCCCGGACAAATCAAAACAAATGGGCCTCCGGCTTGGCTTGGCTGCTGTACGGGCTATTATGAATAGCTTGTACAGCAGTCCTTTGGTTCAACTGAACCGAAGATCTCCGGCGGCCGAAGGATCAGCCGAAGCTACGGCTAGATCCTTCGGCACGTAAGTGAATAACCCTCATTGTGATCATATGGCTTATCCCTTTTGTATACTGCTTGGAGAAAACCACCTATTGGTTGGCAATTGCAGAACCCTATTGCAATGTTTTCCTGTGCTTGATTGGCTTTATAGTAGGTTCTGACTAAAACTGACCCAAAATTAAAAGACTTGAGAAATAGTACATCTTTCCTTATTTTCAAACCTTTTCCATGGTAACTTCTGTGTGCTTAGTTGTACTCGGAGCCTACAGTTTTATCTTCAGAAATCCAATCTTTGGAAGAAATAAATAAGCCTTTTTCTACTATTCGCAGGACCCAAGGGGATTCCTAATGTGTCAAATAACACTATAGACGGGTGAATCAGCATCCACCTACATTTAAAGTAGAACCTCCCAGCATGGACAAATAACTTTCATATGGTTGTTTGATGTGCCAGGTTGCCCATCTGTCCTGTCAGGACTAAACCTTTGGAAATTAGGTCCTCCAAGCAGTAGCCTCACCTTGGTAGGTTATTCATCGCTTATCCTCTCGTCTGCTGTCCTGGAAGATGATTAGAAAAGACTTAGGGCTTGTTCACACCAATCGCGGAGCAGATCCAGAGCAGGTGCAGACCGGATCAAAACTGCGTCCAATGTATTCCTATGGTATTTTAAGCTCCAGTTCACATCGCAGCGTGCAGATCCAGAGCAGGTGAAAAAACTGCGGCAAGCCCTATTTTACCTGCTCTGGAACGCATGAAAAACGCATCAAAAACGCATGCAAGTGCCTGAAAGCCCATGTTAAACTTTAAAAAAAAATGTATTTTTTTTTCACCAAAAACGGCCCGTAACGCATCAAAAACGCGGCACGACCCACTGCACTGCGTGTGCAGAAACCTGACCGGAGCTGCTCTGCATTTGGTGTGAACAAGGCCTTAAGTTCCAGGAATCTTCCAGAACAGCAGGGAGTTTACTCCCATTATTTTAGTGATTAGGTGCTATTTATACCATGTTGTACGGTTTGTCTTCTGGTTCTTTAATACCACTCAGGCATTGTGTCTGATCTTATTCTTTTATTGTCTGTGAGCCTAGTGTTTCTAGTTTTAGGTAGACGGAGCCACAGACTCATTTGCTGTCTTGGAAGATTCCTGTAAATTGAGTCACCAGGTAACTAACTCTGTTTTTTGTGTCTGCCTGGTGTTCAGCTTTAAAGAACAGCTCTATTCTAATGGAAAATAAGATATTGCTTTAAAAGGATGAGTTACTGAAATCACTAAGGGTGGATTTACACCTATGTGTTCATTCTAATGTGTATTGCAGTAGACAATAATATGCATTTTTGCAAGTGGCAACATGCATTTTCATATATCTCCTTTAATTTCAATGGGCTTCTCAATATATGTCAGTGTGCAGCAAAGCGTATTATTAACACATGTTGTGAATTCAACCTAAAACTGCTCTTTAAAGAGGAACTCCAGGTTTTTTCAAATTAATCCTGGCAGTGGGGTTAGACTCGCACTGCAAGGGATACGTGCTCGTTTTCGCATTGGGCAGAAATAAAGAAGATATACTTACCTGACAGTGACCACTCACCTCTCTCCCTCTCTGCTCCGGCTGTGGTAAGTCCCTTGGCGTCTTCATGTCTAATTAGACGTAATGACATCACAGGTCTTTAGACCTCCAGAGCCTAGGAATGAAGAGGCTGCCAGTCTAGTAGCCAGGCAGGACTGAGGATCAGGTAAGTGTAATTCCTTTATTTTCTGCCCTAGACCAAAACAATCATTTAACCCTTGCAGTGCGGAGGTATATCCACTGCAAGGGTTAACTTTAAAAAATATCTTGGCGTTTAACAGTTTCACCTCCTTGACTTTCACTTGAAGAGCAGCTGACAGACCATATGCATAAAAACTATAAGCTCTGTGTAGGGGCTGAGCATTTTTTCTTCGCTAGTTTTTCATATGTATCAGACTGTTTGTCATGGGGACCCCAGAAACAGTACATTTTCACAGAAAGAGTACTTTGCTTTGTTTTCTGACGCTGCATTTGGGTTATGTATATGGTCAATTTGGATGCAAATAATACTTAGTAGCATATTTTAATTATTCTGCTTTCTCTAAGCTTTTGAAGCACAATTTAGTTCCCTTACCTCACATGGATTACTGCACAACACTGTTGCGTCTACTTCATTATTAAGAATAGGGTCCAATCAAAACTTCAAGTTAAGCCCTGAAGTGCTTCAAATTTTCTTTGTGGCTGAGCTGCAGTGTAAAGGTGCCCATACACCTTACGACCATCGCAAGACTTTTGTCTTGCGATGGTCGTATGCTTATTGAAAGCTCGTACGATCTGCCCACCTTGGACGGGCAGATCGTACTTGCGATCTTCCGATGACGGCAATGCAGAACGGGCAGTGTGCGCGTGCGCACACCGGCCCGTTCCCGGCCCGTTCCGCAGCTATCGGACGAGCAGGCTAGAAACCCGCCGACAATCGTACGATTCTCGGCGGGTTTTCGAGCATGTTGGTTCGACAAAAGCCGTGCGACCGTACAGTAGAAACGGTCGCACGTCTTCGTTCACACTGCTCGATTCTCGTACGATCGCGGGATTTCGTCCGATTCTCGTACGAGAATCGAGCAGTGTATGGGCACCTTAACAGTCCTCACCACTCCCTCCTTATCTGGGGATCAGTGCACCCGTTTTGCATAGTTGTGTGTAATTCAGAAAAGGGAGTCCGGAACACACCCCCACTGTATGCTCCTTCATTTACTTTATTCAAATGTCTTTGTGGATTCTGCAGGTAACTCCTGGAACAGTTGGTGTCAAAAGGCATCTACAGTCATGCTGAAATTGCACCAATGTAAAGTATTAATGTTTGCCTGTTCAAATATGTTGGAACAAATCAACAGTTTTCATTGGATGTACTTACTTTTTTTCAAAAAAATGTAAAGTAATGTAGGACGGTGAACTTGTTAAAGCCCAATTCCATATTGACGCAAAAAGAAATAAATGGATTCCCTAGAGCTAGTAAAATTAAAAAGCTGCTCCGGCTGCTACACTCTCCTGATTCTGTTCCCTGCTGACTCACTAATTCAACGATGCCATTCCTCTTCTGGGTTGAATGACACCCAGGTGTGCAGTCCCAGGAATAACCATGCAAAGGAGTAATATTGTGTGTGCTTTATGGTGATCAATTGTTTTGTGCAGTCTTGTTTTCATCTTTAAGTATGTAATGGGAAACAATGACAAAATCTTTGTAAAGTTTAGTGTGCTAATGCTTTTGCAGACTGCTCATACTATTAGTGTTTTTTTGTTCCTTATCAGACCTCTCAGGGATTTAACTTGAGCATACCAATGCCAGGTCACCCTGTGAACTTCTCGGATGAGACAACGAATCAGGCATCTAGAGACGTGGAGAAGCTGGAGGCTCTCATCGCTGAACACAATGTTATATTTCTTCTAATGGACACTCGGGAGAGTCGCTGGTTGCCCACTGTCATTGCAGCAAGTAAGAAGAAGGTAATGAAAGCTTTAGGGAAAGCCGTGGTCAATTCTTAGCACCTTTATAAAAAAAAAAAAACTTTCACTTGTGTTTTTGACTGTCCTTCTTATGCTTTATTATATACTGGAATACTAAATAAAACAGATTTTAGGGTAGTTAGAGCAGCATAGCATTGCCAGACTAATTAAAACTGGTTTCTAATTGGTGCTGTTGGCTAAAGCGCACTCAGGAACTCAAGAGTGTCGTAGAAACACATAAGAAAAGTATCTCAGTGTTGCAGGAATAGTCAGCGGAATTCACAATCACATTTGCGACAGAATTCTGGTGCTACAGCAGCCTAAGAAATGTCTGTGCCAAATTCTAAAACATGCTGCACCATTTTTCGGACCTATATGGCCAAATTCAAGTAGTTCTTATTTGCGGCATATTTTATTCCCGCGCCGTGTACAGACATACAGTACGAACCTGCGACAGACTAGTTACGCTAAAAAGTACTTGGTAAATGAAATCCAACAATTCAGTAATATGAAAAATGATGCAAAGTAACACCAAGTACTTTTTAGCGTAACTAGTCTGTCGCAGGTCCGTATTGTATGTCTGTCGCAGCATGCAACACATACCTCAGGTGCGACATTCCTGCAGTCACTGTTTGGGTATTCTAATGACTGCGGGCACCTTCTATAAAAGTACAATAGCTATAAATGTATGGCCGCTTAACTTTGCAGTAAGTCACAAGCAGAGAGGTTAGAGCAGGGACTGATCAGTGTCAGACATTTCTGAATACAGCCACGCTCAACCGCACAGCTGTTTGCCAATGCACTTATTGAGCCGCAATGCACTCTTTTTTCTTTTGTAGAACTTTATTGAAATATCACAAGGGACATTTCATTCTGTTTTATGGGCTCACTGTAGTGCAATGCGGTTCTACCATGTTTCACTGCGGTTCACTTAAAAAAAAATACTGCACACCATACTTCTTTTTTTTTTTTTTAAGTGCACACCACTGGAATGCAATGGTGTGAACCAAGCCCATCTATGACAAGACAAATTACCTTGTATTGCGTTCAGGCTGTGCTGGAAAAAAAGGCCATCGCAGCCCAAACACAAAAGGTGTGAACTGGCCCTAATGCTGGGCACACACCTTACAACCATCGCAAGATTTTCGTCTTGCGATGGTTGTAAGGTACTTTAAAAAACCTATCTTGGAACAGGCAGATCGTACTTGCGATGATCGCAAGCCGCGCCCCCCTGAGGGGCAGGCTTCAGATGACCGCAATGCCGAACGGGCAGTGTGCGCTTGCGTACACCGGCCCGTTCGGCTTTTATCGTACGAACATGCTACACACCCGCCGAACATCGTACGATGCTCGGCGGGTTTTCGAACATGTTGGTAAGATAAAAGTCGTGCGACCTTACAGTAGTAGAGGTCGCACGGCTTCCACACGACTTACGATGATCGCGGGATTTCCCACGATTATCGTACGATTATCGCATTGTGTGTGGGGACCTTAAGACACTTTGATAAGAGAGGTGCACATGTCACACCTTCACAATGTAATCTCTTACCACTGTCCTAGGACCTTTTTAAATTCCAAGCCCTGAAGTTCTTACTCTCAATCCTTCTTTCCTAATTAATTCCATCCAACTTTCCATTCCTCCCGATGTGACACGTGAATGATGAAGGGGATTTTGTAGGAAATGCTAGTCATGCAATAAGTTGGAAAAAGAAACTTTTGGTAATACTATATGCACTGTGGTGACTCTGCTGATTTTATGGGAAGGGATCATAAAAGGTTCAGACACTAAAATCTGGTTTCATGTGGTCTATCAGTGACTCAGTCCTTTCCCTAGGAAATATGAAAACGGCGAGTACTTCTACTGGGGTTTTAAGTCTGTAGGGCCGGGTAATTTCCAAAGAGCTTTTTTTTATTTTTAAGTAAAACTTGAATCTATTTTATTGTAGATAGGCCTATGAATATGTGCGGCCTAATGTAAATATTCCTATTAGTTGGTCTTATTTTAATCAAACTGTGTTTCTGTATATGGTTTAATACCTATGTGACCTGTAACGTATTTTAGCTTTAAATATAGTGAGAGAGGGTTAGAACCTGTCTACGTTTTGTGGTTGTATTTGGGAGATTTCTCCACTTCCTGTCGGACAGGTGTCACACAGAACAGGAAGTGGGAGAAAAAATTCCCCCTTCCTATCTATCTGATGGGTGTTGGGCAGAACAGGAAATAAAGTGTACCCCCCCCTTCAAGTTGATAACCTTTGATAGCACTAAAACAATTTTTTTTTTTAGTTGAGTGAGGGGAGGATTTAATTGCTCTACCTTATTTTATTTTCTAAATGTGACCTCATGCTCCTTGTGGTCTTGTACTGGGCAGGAAGTTCAGGGAAGTGTAGTTAAGAGGGTTGGAGCCAGCTGTTTGGAGACCTAATGACTGTAAGTGCATGGGCAAAAAATTAAAGCGTAGCTCCGGGTAAACATTTTATAACCCTAACACTGCAAGGGTTATGTGCTCATATTTGCCTAGGGTCAAAAATAAAAAACAAATTATGCTCACCTGATCCTCCAAGCAGACTTGATCTCAGACCGGTCCTTTCCACCTCGCTTCCCCTGCATTGCAGCGGTCTAAGGTCCCTGAGTCATCACATTCTATACACAGTGTATAGGATATGAGGACGCTGAGCGACATACCGTCGCTGCAGTGGAGGAGGAGACATGCAGGAGGGGGCGCTGTCACAGCAGGCCGTCTCAGAGTATGACTTTGTCATTTTTGACCGTAGGCAAAAACCAGCAATTAACCCCTGCAGTGCAGGGGGTAACCACATGGAAAGTGTTAATAAAACTTTTACACGGCATTCTTTAAAGAAATACTTTCCTGGGCAATGTATATTTCTTTGGTCCGGATTTACTATTGGGGGGAAAAAAAATGTGAGAGTTTTATACTACTTTAATAAGAGTGTTGGGGATAGATCATTTTGTTTATTCAAGGTACTGTAGTGGATGCAAAATGGCATTTCATGAAATGCAACCACAACCCATTTCTAAGCTTGTTACTTCTCTCCTGACTCCACAGTTAGTCATCAATGCGGCTCTGGGCTTTGACACCTTTGTGGTAATGAGACATGGCCTGAAGAGAGGGACGCAGGAGGAAGCTGGTGATTCACACTCTGATTTCCTGGGGTCTTCTCTGTTCTCCAACATCCCCGGATACAAGCTTGGCTGTTATTTCTGTAATGATGTGGTGGCTCCAGGGGATGTAAGTATTACATTCAAATCACTGTTTTTCCTTGTTGTTTAAACCATGACAGGCAAAAAAAGATATCCAATAGTAAAGTGTTTCTACACTCTTGTCTTCAGGGACTGTGCACTATGTATATTTAATAGGATTGTCCTAGTTACAGGGCTAGTCTACCCAAAAGTAATTCCTTTGTTATGGGTGAAGCTTGATGGGCTGATGAAGCCCCGTGCTTGGATACTCTCCAGTGAGCTCTCCCTTCTATAATGCCTCACTTCTTTTTTGCCCATCTGGAAGTTTTTGGCTATTCCTGCCAACAATATTGTGTCCCAGCGCCGTCTATCAAATTCTGTATGATATAAAGTCAATTTGAGATCCATTAGGTAGTGTGGGAATCGGTTATAACAGCCGATGTGCGGACCTAGAAACTCAAGCACAGAAATCTTTCCAATAGAGTTTCTAAGAGGTATTAGAAACTAAGTGGTGAATTATCTCTTCCGTATCTACCAAAAATCAATGTATCCGTTTTGTTTTGACTGGCCTGTTAAATTCCTATGACTGCTAACATTCTTTTTGATCTGACCTCGTAAAAATGCTGGTCATACCATTTACATTTTGGAGCACCTACGTCTAGTGTAGCCAATGTACACATTGGAGCATGAGAGGGAGGTTGCATCTGTGACAAGAGAAAATACAGAAGCTTGTACAATAAACTTAGGATGAATTTAACAAAAAGACCATTTAAAGGAGAACTATGAGGTGAGTGAAAATCACCAATCCTCATAGTTCGAGCCGACGTGTGACAATGAAACTGTCACGCGCCGGGTCAATAGATCGGTAAGTGAGAGAACACATACCGTCGCTCGCTCACTTCTCGATCATCTCCATGCAGAGAGCGGTGACTGTCAGTCACGGCTCCCTCCAGGGATTCCCCGCCCGTTGGATGAATTTTAACCAGCTGAATTTAACCACTCACCAGCTGGGTGGATCTCGACAGCATTGTCGGGATCCGTCCCGGCTGCGGCGGTCTCAGTATACCGCGAGCTGTAGCTTGCAATATACTGAGCTTTGGGTCACGGGAGGACGCTAGTATATGTCCTCCCGTGACCCTAAAGAGAACTATGGGGAAAAACACTTACCCCATAGTTCTTTTTTAAGGTAAATCTAAACGCAATCACTAGAATGTAATATAATCTTTAACATGTTAATGTCATTTCAAAAGTAATTTTTTTAAGGCTTTTTAAAACGTAAAGCTTTCATTAAAGTAATACCTGGCACTCCTGCCACGAAGGTTCAGTCAATGCCTATTATAGAGTGAGAGAGCTCTGTCCTGGTCTTCTAACTGCTATTATGTCTCACCCATGTGCTTCCATTGAAGAGTCTTGGAGCCCATTCAAATGATTGTATTTCGGTAACGTGCGAAAAATTCACTTTTGAGTGGCACCCCAACACACTAAGCCAGTGTACCGCAATGCATGGTAATGTACTACTCACATGTACTACTGTGATGTGGTGCGCTGCATTGAAAAAAAAAATCCAGATCCAATTTTTGGTTCATTCGAATGGGTTGCCTTAAAGCAACACAGGTTAGCGCAAGACATACGTTTGTTAAACACAAACATCTGGATGGGCCCAAGAAGCCGGTCCTGACCGTTGACATGCAGCTGCCACTTGAGTGTGTGCATGTACGCAGGAAGTGGCTAGCTCCAGGAATTATAACTCCTATGCCTTATCCATAAAACTGTTTATGGAGTGCAATAAAAGTTTGTGGGGCAGCCATTTGCAGCGACTAATTCCAGTAATAAGACAGCAGGGATTAGAAGTAGGGAGGACACGGACTGGAAGCTTTGAGCTACAGCATCCTAAACACAGAGCAATAAATCTGAAAAGACAATATTGAGGTATGTCTAATTAACATTTACCTCCCACTGTCTTTTCTAATTATATTTTCTAGAGCTCTCATTTAAAACAAACCTGAATTTTGACTTTGAAGTTTAATTAATCTCAGTAGTTAAAAGATTATTTCAAGTACCTTAACTATTAACAAAAATGTATCTTATTTGTGTATCACTCGGCTGTAGATCCTCAAATCATCTCTGAATTCATGCCGACACTGTCCTTCCTTCTGGAGAGGGGTTACTTTTGTTCCCCATGGTCCCTGTGTGTGTTGTAAAGTAGCCATCGCTCCAAGTCCACTCCCGTGATGGACTACAATGTCACGTTTAGTTTTCTCATTTGTATTGAAGTTATAGCTTTTCACGGGAGCGGTGGCTACTATAGAAAAGCATACACATAAGGGACCATGGGGAACAAAAGTATCCACCCTCCAGAAGGAAGGACAGTGTCAGCACAAATTCAGAGATGATTTGAGAATCTACAGCCGAGTGACAAATAAGCTACATTTTTGTTCATAGGCCCCTTTCACATGGCCGATCCGATCCGGTCTGCCAGTCAGTTTTTCAGGCGGAACCGATCGGATACTCAATGCAAGTCTATGAGTAGCCGTGTGTAAACTAATGAGTGTACGATGCACCCGGTTACCCCCACCCCTTGCCAGGTCTGGAGAAACAGATGGATCAGATATCCATTTCGCCGATCTCTGATCCATCATATCTATTTACATCAGATTCCCCGTATTGTCAGCTGTGACATCCGCTCCGCACTGATGTGATCAGGAGAAAATCCATGCACGGATCCTCTCCTGATCAGCCCGTGAAATTGGGGGGAGTTTCCACACAGAAGCTTGTGCACGAGAGAAGCAAAGCATTGTGGGAGAAGCAGTTTTCCACGCCTACATTGTAGCTCTAACTGAGCACAACATCCTGTAATCTATACAGAGCACAAGGCGGCCATTTTTAAAAGAGTGGACTGAAAAAACAACAAAAAAAAGTATTTATATCCAGGATCTCCATATGCCTGATTCATGTACACTCTTTGTGCATTGCGGGCAAATGTTTTTTTTTAAATGCCTCCGCAAAGCTGGAAATGTCCTTTTAAGGTACTTGAATGCATTTTTAAGATTTAACTCCTGAGTTTGTCACTTTAATGGTTAGATTGTTATAATTATTGGTAATGATGATGCTGGTTCCCTTGAGGAAGTGGCTGCAGAGACACAAAACTGGTCAGGTTGTTTGAGCTGTTTTGTGCCACTGCTTTAACAGGATATTTGTAAAAATGTATGATTTGATTCTGCTGGTGCTCCTCAGATGATACGATTATAACTAAAAATCCTTATTTTGGGTTCTGTAAACATAGGTGTGTGGAGCTGTGGCAATGGAAATGTCAGAAAGGGGTTACTAACACCTCATCATTCAATTCCACTTGTATTTATTGTTGTACAATTCTTTCCACTTCAATAACACCCTCCATCATTCTGTCATATAATTGTGTTGATGGATTGTGTTCTAGAAAATATGCTGAATACAATGTGCTAGCATAGTCTTTCCTGCTTGTGAAGGACATTGTAGTGGTAAAGTATTCACAAAACGATTTTTGTTTAAGTAGATATAAACTCTGATTGGATAACATTTTATTGCTAAGCGCTATGTCATATAAACAATAGCATTTTTCTCATGAAATACTGTTTACACTATTTTTTCCATTACTCTTTGCATCCGTGTGGCTGGTCTCCTTTAGCCTCTTTCAACCACTTCTGTCTACATGCACTCACTACAGCATTGGCTGCACATTATTGCCTTGGATCACCTTCCTGATGGAGACATTGCTGGATTACGTCTGTTTAGTCCATGTCAGGGTAGTGGCTTGTAGTCTCCACCGGGGTGCAAATTACAGGGTGACAGTGCAGGAGCACAATTGCAAGAAAGTTGTCACCATATAACCATATAAAGTGCCTGAGCAGTGACCCTCAGGGTAGGATCACCAGATATTATTTCAATGAAAGTTACAGGTGTAAAATAACTCTTATAATGATATTAACCTGTTACATATGAGAATTTAGTTGTTGGGTTTTAAATCCCTCTCAGTTGTTTTTTTCTTTTAGCGTCTCTTTGGGGTGCTTTACCTTCACTTCCTGTTCTACAGATGCAACAGAAAGTGAAAAGAAGTCTCTGCAAAGTGGGTGAAATTCCCTCTCAGACTGCAGTCACTGGAACAGGTCTCTTCTTTGGAGGATTCCTCATCTGTTTAGATGACCATTGTAAAAATTTGGATTTCCCATCACTTAAAGGAGAAATATAAGATGAGATATTTCCACTCATCCTCATAGTTAGAGCTGACCTGTGACAAAGAAGCTGTCACAGGTCGGCTCTATCGATTGGGAAGTGAGCAGAAACATGCTGGCGATCCGCTCACTTCCCGATCGTCTCCCTGCAGTGAGCGGTGACTGTCATATTTGGGCACAGCTGGTTCTGCCTCTAGATAGGCAGAACCAGCTGTCACTCACGCAGCTGGGTGAATCGCAACAGTATTGTCAGGATCTGTCGCGGCTGCGGCACTCTCAAGCCCGCGATATACTGAGCTTTGGGTCACGGGAGGATGTTAGTATATGTCCTCCCGTGACCATAGAGAGAACAATGGGGAAAACACTTACCCCATAGTTCTCTTTTAATGTCACCACAACATGCGAAAAGGGTGAATCTCCCCAGTGTAGAGGCACAAACAACAATTAAAACCTATTATTTGATATATACTGTTTATTAAATGGTTGCATCAACTTTATATTTCTAACCCACAAAAACTTACATACTCCTTTTCTTTCTTTATTATTTTGTTCCTATTATTTTACTAGCCCCCTTACAATTGAAATTGCATTTTAATTCGGAGAAAGTATTTTTCCTTTCAACATTACATGGAAAAACACTGAAGAAAATAATCTGACTTTGTAAATTGCTGATGTAGCATTAAGATAAGATCAAGTTAGGTTTGTATGGACAGAAATGAGCATGACGATGACCTTTCCACACATTTCTTATTGTTAAAACTCTGAATGACCTTGCACTAGCTTACATGTTTATTACCCAGTCATGCTGGAAACACATGTCATCCAGATTATCCATCATATTTATTGGGACCTGAGGAATAATGTGGATACATATTTTATGTTCATAATTTTTGAATGATATTCTTTTTATAACGCTTTTTTCCTTCAGTGTGGGGTCTGGATCAGATGATTCGAAAACCTGATCTAGCTCTCCCATGCATTTCTGTAGCAACAGATTTCTTTTAAGAGTAAACAGATCATGGTTGCTGTGACTTGTTATTCCAGGGAAAGGCAAGGCAGGGCTGGATTAGCTCTGCCCTGCCTAAATATGAATGTTGGAGTCACATGTAGCAGGATTGAAAGCCCAGGAGCTGACAGATTCAGCTTTTGAACTTAATGGTGACAGCTGGCAACTTTTTCAAAATGGCACTGGCACTTAAGTGGAGGAAATCTGGAGCCTCTGTTGCCAGCCTCTTGCCAGATGTTGGGCACCACTGATGGAAACTGACCACCAGTGGTTTATAATAATGGAAGCTTGCAGAGGCAAACCTGGAGTTCATTATACATTTTGTGGTCCCTAAAAAGGAACTGGGGTGCTAGGGTCTGGTTGGAGCACTTTTAATAATGTGCAAGTATGCATAGAATACCTGCACATTATGACAAATGTTCTTTAAGGTGCCCATGTACTTGTCGAATTTCGTATGTTTTTTAATGTACCAGACGAAATTCGCAGTGTGTGGGGTTGTCGGCTCCATTTCAGCCGGCATTTCTCAATCAGCTGATTGAAGGAGCCTGCTGGAAAATTTTCGAACGATCAGAGGCGGCATTCTGATCGGATATTTTGTCAGGGGTCGGCGACACCTGTCAGAATACAACGTAAACAGCGGGATTTCTCAATTGACGCGCTGTTTGTTTTGCTGGAGGAACCGGGTCAATTTTTTTCGTTCAGACTGTGGGGTTAAACGGAAAAAAATGATAGGCGTATGGCCAGCCTTAGTGATAAAAACAAATGTACTTGGTATGCTGCTTTACATACCTGTTTAATTCTATGAACTACCACTTGTAAAATCAGAATTCAGATCTCCAGTGGTGCATGATATTTTCCTTGCTGCTCTCTGTCCTGCCTTGCAGGTTTTGTGCATGTTTCTGAAGACAGCTTGATGAAAATAAAGCAATGTTTATACAGACCCCGGCATGTGATAACAGCTTTCAGAGCACAGGGAAAGAAAATGCGGCAGTTAGAGGGTATACTTCAACCTGCTTGGTTCTCCTTAAGAGCCAACTAACACCAGATAGGGCTGCGCAACTGTCTTTTCCAGCACAGCCCCATCACACTGACAAGGCAATAGCCTCGTTTTCAACTGTCTCAGTTCACACCACCACTCTGCGGTGGTGTGCACTGAAAAAAAGGGCACAGTGCGGTGGGACATGGTACAACCTTGTTGAGCACGATACCTATAATACACCAATAAATATGGTAAGTGATTTACAAAATTGAATATTTATGGTGCAAATACTGCATAAGTTTGTTTTTTACATGACACAGCAACAGCAAACGTACCTGTACATCTCACTTAGTCCTTCTTGTTTGTGTACAAGGACTCTGAAATGTTTATCAGTAAAAGGATTACCTACTGTACATCATTTGAAAGTTGTTATTGTGATTGCAGTAACTTGTTCTCTTTTTCTTTCCTCCATTTTGTCATAGTCTACTAGAGATCGAACTCTCGATCAGCAGTGCACTGTCAGCCGGCCAGGACTATCCATGATTGCTGGAGCTTTGGCAGTGGAACTCATGGTGTCTGTCTTGCAGCATCCTGAGGGGTATGTCATTATATGCATTTCAGAAATCAGCTTCGGTCAATAAAATAAATCTGTATTGTTTTGAAGTGTTTTGAATAGCCCTTCTCAACTAGTGTTCCGTGAGACCCTAATTCCCAAGGTTGCTAGAGGTTCCTTAAGCAATCAGTATTAGTGCATTGATCTGCTGCTTAGACGTACCCGGTGCACAGTACTGCACAGTGCAATTACCATGTTATAGTGCAGCAGGTGCGTTACATTGCCATTCATTTGAATGGCACCCAAAACGCACCTCCCGCCTACAATGCGATTGACCACTCTGCAAAACGCAGTACCACAATACCGTGCGATTAATGCATGGGAACGGGCACTAATAGTAAATATGTGCCACATACTTTTTTTTCCCCACACTGCTGGAGATGGGAGGTGGAGGTGCAGCAAAGGATGGAGGAGGAGGACGGGGTAAAACTGGGCATGGGAAGACTTTGTTACTGGTTGTTATGACCACCCAGTGATCCTAGCAACCAATTACTGCAGAGGAGGACCCATGACGTTAGTGGTTGCTTGGACGCCAGCAGTTGTGTGCACCTGTGAAATAGCATAAAACTTTGGTACCCAAAATTGTCCATAGATGACAATTTAAAAGCCCCTACAGTTCATCAATTTAGATTTAACCATAACTAATAATACTTTTCTCAATATATCTGCTCTCCTAGGCTAGGCGTAATCGTACCCACCTGAATTAAATTATCCTAATAGAGCAGCAGGTGTGCTGGTGTATAAAATGCACCACGTGTCGATAAAATCTACAATCACTCTGCGCTAATAAAACTACTCTTAATATCCCTGTGTGTGTTGTAAAGTAGCCACCGCTCCAAGCTCTCTCCCGTGATGGACTACAATCTCAATACAAATTATTAAATTAAACGTGCGATTTTAGTCCATCCCTCCAGAAGGAAGGACAGTTGCAGCATGAATTCAAAGATGATTTGAGGATCTACAGCTGAGTGATATACCTATAAGATACATTTTTGTTGATAGTTAAGGTATTTTAATGACATTTTAAGATTTAACTCCTGAGTTTAGTGGACTGTTGAGTTCAGTAAAGCTCTCTGAACCCAGATGACAGATAAAGACAACTGTACATCACCACTGCAATACACAAAACTTAAGCACACTTTACTGAGTCTGCTACGCTAATTTTTTTTTCTCTAGCAGCATCTCTCCTCGTCCTCTCCCTATCACACTGACACTAGTGCTGCTCTCATCCTCCTCTCCTATAGTAAGGGACTTGGCTATCCAGCTCAGCACCTTTATTGACTGTTGTGAGGCTGCGTGCCAGGGTCTAAGGGTGCGCACGGCATCATGGGTCAGCATTAAAATTTGTCTTCTATGAATTCAGTTAAAATTTCATTCATATCCTGCAAATTCAGGTTGAATTTGAGTTGGTCCCAAATTCCAACCTCATCCCTAATTATATTGTAAAATTCTGTCAAGCTTTCGGTCAAACATTACTGCAGCTGCAAACCTTCCTTCATTTTTGTTTTACTAGTAATGTAATGACTTGCCAATCACTATTCTGACAAAATGAATACATGCTGCAGCCTCTAAAAACCTGGCATTATGCCTGAATTGGGCCAATGTAAGGGTAAAAGCTCTGGTAGAGTCAAAACTTTCCCACCCCTCTAATGCCTCCCACAGAATCATGTTGGCCAGTGTAACAGCACCATCAATAGAGAAAGGCCAGGCAGAATAGCCAGACATTGTGCTGTAAACATAGCAGTCATACAGCATCTAAGTGAATCCATAGCATACTATAGGTTGAATCTTAGTAGTTATGTCTGATGTGGCACTTACTGGACCTGTGTGCGACCACACTTGGTGTAGCCGAGCTTAGTAGGTTTTATAAATAAGAAGGCTTTACTTTATGATAGTGTAAGAAGGAAACCACCTTTTATGATGTGTGATCAGTCAGCGTGGTATAGTAGAGAGGGATGGCTGAGACACAAAATGTTTTAGCTCATCTGGTGCTGGGTTGATAAAGGCTCCTCCCTTCTTACATGGAAATGAAGTTAAGAAGGATACTTGGTTATAAGTAAAAATGTATCTAGCTATTTTAAAACTAGATATAGACTTTCTTTGAAGAGACTTTGAGGGGAATGGGGGCAAAATGCTGCAAGCACATTGATGATGCCTGAGCATACTTGTATCGGCTTTCCAAACCCTCCTGACTTGGCCAAATGTCGGGCCATTCTGAAAAGGCAAAACTCTGACACTTCATGCTAGTGTCATAGTTTGTTCAACATCCCATGCTTTCCTATTGTCCCATCACTAAAATAAACAGCCTCAATGTACCGTGGGAATATGAAGAAATTTGAAAGGGATGATCAAGCTTCAGCATGATTGGCCTGACTAGTTTGCCCCCCTTCTCCCTAGTAACATAACCTGTAGAAGCATACTCATATATTCACTTTTCCACTAAAAGTATTGTGTTTGATGGTCTGCCCTGTGTGTGTTTTACTTCAAATAAATATTTTTTTAACAGCTGATATTTTTGTTTGAATTTTTCATTGCAGAGGGTATGCTGTGGCAAGTAGCAGTGACGATAGAATGAATGAGCCTCCCACCTCTTTAGGTTTAGTACCACACCAGGTAATGAGTTTTTACTATGTTTAAGAAAATACTGCCTTGCTGTAAAAATCTAAATGCTTTTTCATTTTTGGCAAAGTCTATATTACCTTACAGATTTCCTGATATATATTAGTCATAAGCACTAGAGGTTTTTTTATAACAGAATTGAGTTCATTGTAAAATGATGCATTTGCCTTTGCCAAAATGTCATCTAAATTGGTCTCTAATTCTGCCATGCCATGCTATTTATGTGAAATCTGCCTTTAAGAAAACCCTCTTATGTTGCTTTTGCAAATTCTGTGATGGCACCCTAGCTGCCCCTAGCAGCAAATCAGTGAGTAGCTTACTGTGATGAATTAAAGGAATTATTAGCAGCATGTGTAGTGTGCCACAGCAAATCATTGGAAATAATAGTGGTGTGGCTTGGCAGTGACAAGCTTGAAGGGGATTAAATATAGCAAACTGCCTTGGTTTAACAATGATTGGGCCAAAAATGTAAAATCCTAACAATACATGGACAATAATGAACAGGAAATCATTACAATGCACTGGCAACAAATGGGCAATCTTTTCAACATTCCATCTTCATTACAGTATGTCATGTTCCTAGCTAAAGAGGGGCCTATTTTAGCACAATAATAGGCCTGGGATAGTTAAAGGAGAATTGTGAGGTGAGTGATTTTCACTCAGCCTCACAATCTGAGCCGACCTGTGACAATGAAACTGTCACAGGTCGGCTCAGTAGATCGGGAAGTGAGCGAACACATACCGGCGCTCGCTCACTTCTCGATCTATCCGTGCAGAGAGCCGTGACCGTCACTCACGGCGCCCTGCAGGTATTTCCCCTGTCCGATCCTCCAGCGCTGACTGGTGGAACGGACGGGGGAGGGGGCGGGTACAGCTGGCTCTCCCTCTAGGTAGGCAGAGCCAGCTGTCACTCACGCAGCTGGGTGGATCCAGACAGAATTGTCGGGATCCGTTCCGGCTGCGGCATCTCAGTATAGCTCGCGGTATACTGAGCTTATGGTGACGGGAGGACGCTCGTTTGTGTCCTCCCATTACCCTTAGGAGAACTATGGGGAAAAGCCCTAACCCCATAGTTCTCCTTTAAAAGGAGTTTCCCAAACCCTTAGGAGCCATTAAAAACCAATTGCCCCCCTAAAATAAGCACCAAAACCCACCTTAAAGCTGAACTCCAGCTATAAATCATTATGCATACTTACCTTGGTCTATCTTGGCCTAATGCAGGTGTGCATATTTCATACCCGAGCAGTCCACAGGGATCCTGTAAAGCACTGCAGTTGCCAGAACTACTACAGTACTGACAGGGATCTTCAAGGTCCTGTATTGTGCTGTGCTGAGTGGCTTCCCCTCTGCCAAGAAGGCCAAAGTAATTATGCATAATAATTTATACCTATACCTTTAAGTTAAATGTCCTGATTTTTCACCAACATTTCAGCAAAGTGAAAACTCTCAACTCTTATCCCTACTAAACAGCAGAAATATTTTCAGAAGTGCATTCTGCTGTTTGTACACATGGTGGCACTGTGGAATCACTTACTTTTACCAGATTCTCCACACACCTGCAAATATTATGTAATCAAAAGCAGCATATGTAACATAACCCAGTTAATCTATAATTTAGTTTTTAACCATAATGTGTTTCTTTTTTTTATCAGATTAGAGGATTTTTGTCAAGGTTTGACAATGTTTTGCCAGTCAGCCTCGCATTTGACAAGTGCACAGCCTGTTCTCCAAAGGTAATGTAATCTAACGCTTGTTTTTTTGTTTCTTTTTTTTGTATGTATATCAGTACCTAGACATTAGCTGCTAAACTTTTCATATGCAGTAAAATAATATTATTGGCAATAGCATGAATTAAAAGAGTACTATAGCCAAACTTGTTTAGCTTAGTTCTCCTTTGGGTCACAGGAGGACATTTACTAATGTCCTCCTGTGGCACAAAGTCGGCATGTAATGGGCATATAGCCCGCTATATGCTGACAGCGCAGAACCACGCTGCAGCCAGGAAGGATCCTGACAATATTGCCTGATTGACAGCTGGCTTTGCCTCTCTAGAGTCAGAGCCTGCTATGGCCACCCCCTCCCCAGTCAGTCCCCCCCAGTGAGCAGTGAATGAACAGAGAGAAGGGAGGGAGGAATCCCTGCAAGGAGTGGTTACTGATGGTCTCTGCTCTCTGCGGGGAAAGGATCGTGAAGTGAGCGATCAGCATTTTGTGATCGCTTACTTCTCGGGCTATAGAGCAAGTCTGTGACAGCTGCAGTGTCACATACCGGCTTAAACTATTGGGAAGGGTACATTTTACCTTCTCAATAGTTCTCCTTTAAAAAGTACAATTTAACTTTTCCTTTTTTATATATGTTCCTATTATTCACTGATAAATAGCATGCAGGTCAGGATTTACAGGTTTTCTGGTATGTAACTATAATGTTTGCAAGTATCCAACCGGTCCAGCCTAGAACGTTCATTGACAGCAGTCTCTTACTGAGGTTGTTTCAAACACAAACACATATTGTTGATGTTATGTCAAGGCAAATAAGTCAACCACATTCAGTTAAAGAGGGAGGACACAACACAAAGCCAGTCAAGGAACAACAGGGACAATTCCATTATCTGTTTTAATAGCTGGCTGCAGCAGTTGACTGGTATCATAGGACGAGTGCTTTCCTTAGAAATAGCATGCATATGAAAAACAGCTGCACACACAAAGGGAAAAAATGGATGGCTCTGGAGGAACAGACTACTTTCTGGTTCATTTTAGTGCCGTACCACGTGCATGTTAACATGTTTTCACGGTAACTTGTGTTACAGTGTGGCAGCCCATATGGAAGATCCATCTGTTCACCTAAATGCACAGATGGTTCACATGCATGCACAGAAATGCATACATGCATGTGCAGAAAACATATGTGCATTGTGGTTCACTGGTTTTGTGTGTTGGGGTGCCATTCAAAATAAACGGCACATCGCCGTAAATTGTTCGTTATCGTTCAATGCTGTAATGCATGGAAAAACACTTGTTTTCCCGCTCATTACTGCAACACACAGATTTGAATACGTCCTTACCGATGATCAGTTGACTTTATAATTTGGTTAATTACATGTTGAGTTCTTGTAATAGGGCACTCTTGGGGTGCTGCCAGTGCTGGAAAAGAGGAATGTTCTAGATCAGTGATGGTGTCTCATTGTTTAATCCCTGTCTGTGGTGCCTGTCTGTGCCAAGCCAATTAATACAGACAAATTAAAGAGGACTGGACATTATCGGCAAACCAAGCCAACCCTAAAAGTATTTGCTTAATTACAGCCTTTCAGTACTTCTTTTTCCATTCTTAATGTTTTCATCATGTCATCAATGTGGCAGATTGAGACAGAAACACAGACATTTCATTGATTTATATGAGACATCATATGTGTCCAACACATGGCCCACTGGCTCTCTGCGTGAAGCCCACTGTGTCCTGAGCTGGGTCTGCCACCTGCTGGGCACCTGTGCACTTTGCAGAGCAGTGGCAGGGTGACGGACGGTAAAACACTCTGCCTTTTACCACCTGGCACTAAAATAAAGACAGTACTGTCCAGTGCAGTGATCTCTGCTCGACAGTACAAGACACCAATTCTGGGGGTTATTTTTGCTGCCACTGACACCAAATCTGGAGGCTATTATTGCGGCCACTGACACCAATTCTGGGGGTTATTTTTGCTGCCACTGACACCAAATCTGGAGGCTATTATTGCAGCCACTGACACTAATTCTGGGAGTTATTATTGCGGTCACTGAATCTAAATCTGAGGGTTAGCATTGTGGTCACTGGCACCAATGCTGCAGGCTTTTATTGTGGTCATTGACACCAACTCGGGGGGGGGGGTTATTGCAGTCACTAATACAAATGCTGGGGGATTTATTGCAGTCACTGACACCAATGCGGGAGGTTATTATTGCAGTCACTGACAGCAATGCTGGGGGTTATTATTGTGGGGTCAATGACACCAATGCTTGGGGTTATTATTGGCATTGCTGAAACCAAAGCTGGGGGGGTTTATTGTGGTTTATGACACCAATTCTGGGGGTTATAACTGTGGTCACTGACACCGGTTCTTTTTATTGTCAAATTGTAAATCATTTGCCATCATTTTGCATTTTTGCAGTTGTAATCATTTGATCTCCTTCAGCCATTTTCAACCCATTCCTAACCATTTGCACTGATTTCATCAATGGCTGCATGTTAATGCTCTGGACCAGCTTCCTGCTAATGGCATCAGTGGACCATTGCAGTGTAATATGTGTCAGCACAGCTGCTTGTAATCACCAGCAGGAGTGTATGTGACCAGGTAACAGTGCAAGAGCATTCTTGGAAAATGGTTGTCACCCCATAACGCCAGTTATAACAGGAAATGTGTGAAAAAGAACCCTAATGGCAAAATCAGCAAAGATTATTTAGATGAAATTTGCAAATTTAAAAAGATGCAAACCAACTTTTTCAATTTGTTAACATGTTAAAGCATAAATTAGATTTTAGTTATTGTTTTTTGATCTACATTAACAATAAATCTTTTTCTAGGGTTTGTTCACACTGCATGCTGTAAACAAAATGCATGCATTAATGCCAAAAGACATGTACGCATTTCAAAATGTATTTTCATGTGTCCAACGTGTTTTGCATCCATTGTTATACTTTATACTATTTTTAAGTAATGTCCCTGTTCTTTTGGAAAATGTTTGTATGCATCCGGTTTAATTTTTCACTCAAATGGCTTGTGAAAAGCTTTGTTGGAAAGAATGGGTTCATTTGAAAATAATGCATGATTGATTGTCTAGTAAAAGCAGTGTGAATGAGACCTAATGTCCCATTTAACCAGAACCAGTATGTTACACACACGTTCCTGTCCAGGCAATTTTTCTGTTCGAGTGCCAACGTGCCTGCACACCCCAGGTGCCCACAATGATGTGATCAAAAGAGGATTCTTTGGTATGTCCCCCTCGATCTAGTAAGGATGTCCTACATCCATTCAATTACAAGGGCCAGACGTAAAGTGGTTAAAGACAATGACCACTGTTTCTTACTCTTGCTATTAGACCTTTCTGCTGCTTTTGATACAGTTGATCACCTGCTGAGCCTCAAAAAAACCCACTCGCTTGGCCTCCAAAGCTCTCTCATGCTTCTCCTCCTACCTATAAGTGCTTATTTAGTGTCACTTACAAATCTACCTCTTCCTCTTTTCCGTAGGGGTCCCCCAAGCTCTGTCCTTGGACCTTTTCTCTTCTCTATCTACACCTCCTCCCTTGGTCAGGTGATAACCTTGCATGGCTTCCAATACCATCTCTATACTGATGACACTCAAATATATCTCTCCACTCCACAACTCACCCTCTCAGTGTCCTTGCGCTGCACAAACTGTTGGTGCTATAATCCTGTATTGTAAAATTAATAATAATTAAAAAAAGAATAAATGCACTTTCAGCCAAGGAGCACTTATTATTTTGGCCACGCTGGCCACGCTCTCCTGACCTAACAGATCCCACCTCCATAGATGCACACTTACTGAGTTCCAGCACTCAGGGCCTCCCGTGTTTGTTTACATCACTAGCCGAACCTCTATCTCTCCTGGTCTCCTGGACTGGTCTATCTCCGTCTCCTGTCCAAGAGGCAAAGGGGGACAAGCCTTATTGACTTCAATGGGGCTCTGCAGTACAGGCGCAGCCAGCAAAGAGAGGATCCATTATTCCTATGACATAGCTGTTCTCATGGCGGCCTCCAGCCACCCAATGGAATACAGCTCACCAATATGGATGCATAGGGCAGTGGCACACATGCACTGTAAGCAAGAACCCCTGCTGAGATGTTTTCTCTTCAAAGACTGTGCAGTGCTAGGCAGGGCCACGCAGCAAAGTTTGCTGGAACAGGGAGGAAAGTGTTTTATCAGGCAGGCTGTAATCAGGGCATGGGGAGGATTCATTAAAAGAAAATCTTCATGAAAGGTGAAGTTGTCCTTTTAAGCTGGAGGTCTTTTATTATGCAAAAGATGTTTAGCTCCCGTAGTTGGAGTTCTAGCTCACCATCTCCTGCTTCTCACTGTTGTTTATGAAGGCTTCCCATCAGAGTTAAAGATCTTATAGATGGGTAAAAGCGCTGAACTCATATAATTAGAGATTATTTTGGACTAAAGAACAAAGTGCATTTTCTTCCCCCGGAGTTTAGTTTATGGTAAAGGTAAGATCCAAGTTCTGGGCCTTGGCTGCTGCCTCTCTGCTCACAATAGTCAAATCAATCAACAGGTGAACAAGTTCTGGTTGTGTGGTTAGGAGAGTCCAGTACAAACTCTCTTTAGAAATATTTTAAATATTTATTTGTTAAGAACATCATGTACAGTCATCATGCTTTGGAGGGAAATACTCCCCCTCCCATTTATTTAATGCCAGTTATGTACTACAAGGGCCTGCCTAAACAGTTCATCAATTTTATATCCGGACAAGTAACATCTTCCTTTGCAAAGTTGGTGGTAAATTAAAAGGGGATTGTACGATTAGATTCCATTTGAATGGCCAGCTAAAGTCAGAACATAGCTAAACCTGTTCCCAATATGACTCTTAGGCAAGGGTCAGATAATTTAGTGTTATAGCCAGAGGTAACGACATCTGATATTGGAAGTAATTGTTATCTTCCCAAAATGGGGCTGAATCATCATTCCTCTTAAAAAAAAAAAAAAAAAAATGGCGCATTTGTTGCTTCAGTCCTTTGG